GGTTGCACAAGCAAATGCGCTTGACACCAATATTTTGGAAAACGCATCACCAACTTCTTCTGAAGCACGTAGCAAGCGCATCAGACGTAGCAGCCTGCAAGACGTACGCTACTGAACACTGTGGAACATTGCAGGGATCTCTGCACACACCCAACATAACCCAATTGAACAGCTCTGTTTTGAATACATGTGCGTGGAGTGTGTGCAGAGCTGGAGGGATGAGGCTTGAAGAAGGGAAATGAAAGCCTGGTTGGATCTGACTTTGGCATTGGACGCTTGTCTGACAAACTTGCATCTAATTCCGGTCTAAGTTCAGCCCCCCTATTGAGCTGCTCTCATTGTGTGAAGGGTTGCTTCGGCGCTCACTCCGGGACATGCCAGGCGAGGTTCTTGGCGCGCAGAGGTTGGAGGTGAGAACTATATGGCGCGTACATCACCGTGCACCACTCCCAGATCCAGCTGTTGGAATGCCGTTGTGCTGTTCCGGGTTTAGGTTGACACTTTCGAGCATGCTTGTGGCTGGATTAGCATGGACATTAGGATGACAGAACGGAGAGAGAGCTGGCAAAGCTTGCTTTGCTGAAGATTCCTGAACAAGTGCGCAATATGCAGAAGCATCACACTTGATTAGTGCCGTCACAAGTCCGGCCACAGACCGAAATGCTCAATCACGGCAAATCCCATGCTGCCACACCGTTTTTGAGCCTAGAGTCTACTGATTGCTCTTGAAGGCAGACCCTGCTGCTGCGTGTTGCAACTTGTCAACACCCAGCAGTAGTCCAACCCTTCAACAATCCCACGTGCATGGCTATGAAAGGTAGCAGCAGTGCAATTCAGAATAAGACGGGCACCTGGGAAAGTCTGAGTCTGCGTATCTCAAAACTTTGCAACACAAGGCTTCGCAGCACTGCTTCTAGCAAAGTAGATTGGGCCAGCTGCAAGCGACTGCAGAAGCTGTTCTGATGCTCAGGCATACTGGACATTCTCAGGTGGGCTCTCTTCACATTCCTTTCACTATGAAATAAGCACTTCGTTCATCGGATTCTCTGGCAGCATGTTCGTTTGTCATGGTGCAGACATGGACGGTCCTAAGATGTTTCGGGAACACGGATCCTTCTCACGCACTGCTCTGGGATTTTTGGGCCGTAGCTGCTAGTAGAATGGGAGGGTACCGGAACGGAGGGGAAAACACACGCGTACGGTCGGAGAAGCCAGGAACTATTGCACAACAAGCACATTTTCACGATATTGCACGTCTTCCGGACAGCTCAACAGGCCTTGCCAGCCGAAGCAATCGCATAGCCTGCGTCTGCGGTTTGTCTGTTCCGAAGGGGGCCTCCTCAGCTGTGCGGCTACTCCGGGTGCACATGCCCAGCACGCATCCGCAGTCCTCCACAGCCCCGCTCATGTACAGAGAGAAGCCAACCACGGGGAGCAGCCACTGTTCGACAACTCCCAGAAGCACGATGAGCAAATCCTGCCATGGTCAACAAGGAACATCGTCGGACACCCTCTCAGGGAGCTCCCCCTAGTGTCCGCTGCAGCCTTTGTTGCCTTTGGCAAGCGTTCCAGCTGATCGCATCCCCAAGAACATGCCCGGGCGGGGTCCAGCCAGTTGTAGAAGAATTCATTCTGGTCATGAAAGAACCTCTTCTGAGGTACCACCAGCACTCTCAGCACTCAAAGTGGCCTCGGAACTCCGATTGCGGCCAGGAAGCCGACAGCCCGAATTGCGGATGCGCACAATGAGCTCAAAGGTAAAAACGGAAAGTAACAGGTTGTCAAGAAGCCTGGGACGCTAAAACAAGGGGAGAGCAACTTGAGGTTTGGGAAAGTCCAATGAAACGCATGCCCACCTCCAGCAGCCCAAGTGCGGGAAGCTCAATTCCAAACCAATCATCGCCGCATTCAAAAGGATGACCTTGAGCATCAGGGATGCTTCAGATCCCGCCGCATTGGCCACAAGACAATGCCGCTAGAAGGCTGCAAGGATGAAGAGCTGAAAACCACGCTCTTCTGCCCAAGAAGTGTCGTTCAGGAGTCGAAACAGCTTGACGACCTGAGGCCGACTGCGGATCACTCGGCAATCACCAGGTACGGGCCAGTGTCTAGCTGAGTGGCACGAACCACCCGTAGGCCTTGCAACCAGGAGGTCCATTCTGGCGTAGCAGCGCCAAAGATGAGTGGGCCTCTGGACCAGTGCTGAACCCTGGAGCTACGAAGCCGGTTCTTCCGAGCCCCTGGCCAAGCCAAAGATCAAGCATCCCCACACAAATGATCAGCATGTCAACCCAGAATGTCCAAACCTGCTTGCATGGTCCAATCAACAGATCCTGCGCAAGATTGGGCACATGCATAGGGAAGCTGGGCTATGGAGATCCATCCGGTCCTCGTGGTGCAGGGCCAGACGAGCCCCGAACTCCACGATATAGAAGCTAAGAATTGCAGTGTCGAACCAAAAGAACTCCCTCACCTTGGTATTGTCTGCCAACCTCAGCTCCAGCCGATGGGTACAGCACTACATTGGACCGCCGAAGCCCTCTTTTCGCTGCCTACGTAAGTTCGACAAGGCCAAGTGGCTCCATGACGATCAAAAGAAGGTTCGACACAATCACCAAGGCAACCACTCCATCGAACCATGCCTCGTCCACAAACTGAAGACAGCGACAACCTGGCAGAAAAGGCTCACAGACAACTTGAAGGGAGTCTTTCAGAGCCTGGGGCCTGGCGGCCCATCACTCATCCTGAACAGGAGGCACGACCACTGCGAGCTGCAAGCGACAGATTATGCCCCAAGGCGTCCTGAACTTTGGGGACGAGCGATACATCAAGGACTTTCGTCGACACAAGTCGACCTCGGGATCCAAAGCTTTGAGAAACAGCAGTTGACTACATACCGAAGTATAGCAACAGTACAGAAGTGGTATAGTATGTATTAAGTACAGTGTACTGGCGCCTGGTCCTGCTTGTCCACCACTCGTCTTTGTATCTGCTGCCGTCTTGCCTCGTAGAACCTCAGTTTTTGCAAAGCAAGTACTACACCAATTCAAGGCTCACCCAAACCAGGCAAGAGTCTCATCCAACTCCTGCAGCCGCCTCCTCTTTTCCTAAGCGCCACCCGACGTGCTCGTTTCTAAAGAGGCAGACTGCGAGTGTGCTGGAAATCAAGGCGCCTCGAGTTGCCGGTTGATGACCTCTATCCGGTCAAGCTCGTCAGCGACTTGGGCATTTTGCACATCTGTGTCGACCGAGCCTGGGTCAGCAAGTAAGGGAGCCCAAGCATCGGACTCATTCCAATCCGAGCTCCAAGCCTACAGAAGTCGCATGACCCGGGCTCTGATCTGCGAGGCTGTAGGCATAGTCAAGGCCGGCTGGCTCCACAAGCTTGGCACCCAAGACCTCAACGGACGAGCAGGATCACAGCAAGCCGCCCAGCATGAACCGTCGTTCTGCAAAAGCTCGAGCATACGATGGGAATCTTCAGGCTGCCTAGTAAGATGCTGTTTGGACAGTTTCCAGCTGCACCAGCAGCGCCTACAACCAGCTGCAAAATGCAATGGAAATGGACAAGACTCTGCCAGCACGGTCACTGGCATGGGAGCTCGAAGCGGATTGATGCGTACTTGTACCGAAAATGCTGAGAAGCAGGCTCGGCTCATTCCACATCTAGCGGCGGCTCACAGTTCAAGGTAGCAACCGCGTCTGAAGCTTTGGACAAACGATCCTGGATCAACCGTCACTACTTCGACTTGATCCTTGATGGGGGGCCTGAACGATGTGCTGCGACGACTAAGCTGACGTTCTGCCATGCGCACAAGACGTTCATGCTTGCACTGCATGTTAATGCTTCTGAATGGGCCAAACCTGAGCAAGTAAGCAGTCGCAAGCAGGACACATCACTTCCAGCATAAGCACTCCGTCACGCAACATTATCCCAGAACTTTGGCAAAGTATGCCACAGCCCCTGCCTGCGCCGTGAAGCTACGCTGCAACACTGAGCACCGAGACCTGCTGCTGATTTTGCACGGCCCGTCCCGAGCCAAACTTGGTTGAGAGCGTCCGTTGGCCTTGTTGCCCTCGATGCCCTCGGACGCCAAGCGCAGATTACGCTCGACCTGGCATGCTTCGCACTGGAATAGCCGCTGAGTAGCCTCATGCCTCTTCTGGTCTTGGGCCGTGACTGCAATCACAGGAACACGAAACAGGCGTCCACAGTTCATGTCGCAAGCGTTAGTCGGGGGTCTTCGTCCAGCTCAAAGTCAGGCAGGAACGGAGACAGCCACAGAGAGACAGACATATCTACAACACACAGACACACAACAGGCCGATTGCATCTGCAGGACAATCCAAGTGACAGCAGAGCCAACAGCAACTGACCCGGCAAACACAAAACACACACACACACACACACACACAAAGCTGACTGTGCACTAACCTTGGCCTGCCCTATTCCGCACCCCTTCCCACACACCTACGACACCTCACCCACAAATCCCTCAAATCAAGTAATTGTTTTTGACTCGCACACTCGCTCAAAGCAGGCACGGCTTCGGGGGGTCTGGTTGCTACCGTTACCACCGTTATCTGAGGGCAGAGAGACGAGTAAAATGTGACAAGTCGGCGGGGGCCAATGATAGGGTACCGGTAAGGTTGCCGCAGAATGTTGCGTATACTATATGACTTCGCCCTCATCCCTCAGACGGCGCGCCTTTTGCTGCGCAGAAAGCAACAACAGGAGGGCGAAGGTGCTTAATGAGTACAGGCGGCGTGTCAGTGGCAAGATATCACAGCAGCAGACGCAGAATGCCATCTACGAAGCCTAAGTGTTTCAAAAGGCGATCTCCACATGGCTGTGAGAAGCCCAGACCTGTACAAGAAGCCAGGCTTTGGCGCGCTTTGGCTCTCAGCTGCAGAGCGGCAGGGGTCTGCTGTTGGGTCTTGCGGGCTGAGGCCGAAAGCGGCATTCTGGGCTTCTCAAGCAGTGCATGGCTTTCGAATTCTCAGGGCCGTGGCACGACGTTCACGGCCTTGTCAGTTTTGCTCCCGACTTCAGGCTCACCAGTCGCTGCATCGCCCATCTTCCCAGAAATCGCTGCATTGCGATCTTGTTCAGCGAAGAGAAAGTCGAAGGCAGCATTGATCTTCTTTTCACTCTGCGTGTCTTCTGGAGGCATCTCGTCCACCCCAAAAGAGGGCTTCGATGTTCGACGCCCACTTTTCTCCGGGCTCTTTACGACCTCGGGCAGTGCGGTCTCTGGCACACCCAAAAGCTCCGACAATTCCGGAAGGTCGGCTTCTTGGTTGAAACGCGGCCGATAGGGCCGCACCTGGCCAGGCTTCTTCTTCTCCCGCTCGTACTTATCCAGCTCACACAGCTGGAACTGAACGTCATGGAGCTCCAGCTGGAAGAGGGGGCGGCCCTCCAGGGAGCCGTGCCAGTACTTGTCCCGCTCCGCGAAGACCTGTCGAAGCTCGCAGAGGAACTGGTGAGCAACTCTGTCGTCGTCGCAGTACGCGTTCCAGTTCACCCTTCGACCATGTAAGCGGTTCAAGCCCCTGCGGGCTCCAGGGCCCACAGCGCACCAGCTGTTCAGGTCCACGCAGCTGCTCACCCACCTGGACTGATGAGAGCTCCAGAACTCGAAGAGAGGCGTATGGAGCAGGTCCTGGACCAACTCCTTCGCCAGGAAGCCGGTGCCGCCATAGCCAGCGACTTTCATCACACACTGGGTCACACTCCTCCAGGAGTTCGTGGTGATCGCCACTTCGACGATCTCATCGCAAGCCTGCCACAGACCTGTGAGACTTGCGCACGTCCTGCTGTACAAGCGACGAACTTCGACAGCTCCGCCACGGTGACGTGCTTTCACCTCGTCGTAGTGGTTGCTGCGGCTGGGGTCATAGGCATCGGTATAATTGAAGTGGCCCATCTGCCACCTCTGCATGGCGGCTGCCACGACCGCATCTTGCTGCATCTTGCCCCAGCTCCTGTTGGTCAAAAAGCCTACGGACTTAGCAAAGGAGTCGGTGCCGAAGGCTCGCCACAGCGCAAAGTTGAAGACCAGCCACCGCGCCGACAAGCGAAGATTGAAATCCCAAGAGCTCATTGGAGTCCTCCGCAGCACTTTAAACTCCGGGTGCTCTGCGACATATCGGTTGCAAATCTTCCGCATCACGCGCGTTGTGCGGTCATCCTCCCGCTTGACGTTCGTCAGCCGAATTCGCGCCATGACGGTGTCATGAGTCCATTGCTCGGGCGGAAGCCGCAGCAGCTCACGTCGGCGTCGCAAGCCCTCGCGCCGCCACATGAAGGCGTAGAAATCCATCACTTCCACTGCCGCCACTCCCTGCTTGAGAGCCTTCTCGGGAGGCTCCACTTCGCTCCTGCGCTTCCACTGCCGAAGTCTGGGTCTGCAGGCCTTCCGACCATCCCCGCCGCGCTCCGAAAGCCGTCTCTTTGGACGGACGCGAATCTCCGGGGGCTCCTCGGCCTCACCGTCAAGCTCGGGGCAAGCCGCTAGGAAGGCGACAGGAACCATGGCTCATGGCTCCATCGCGTCCCGTCCCGGCTCATACGGTAGAGCACTGAGCACTGCTAGGAAGGGGCTCAAGGGTCGATGCACAGCACAGCACATCAGCTTGATTAATTGATTTTATAGACTCTAGACCATGCTAGACCTGCCTGCCGCCGGTACTGCTGAAGCTCCTCCACCCTCGCAGGGTTAAGTTCACAAATTTGCCACAGTTCGTAAGTGCGGGGAGTCTCGCCTCTGTTCCACCATGCCATCGATGCTGCTCTCTGGGTACTTGTAAAGTTCGTCGGCCACCTCACGCCATGGCACTGGATGCTCGCATGCCGAGTCTAAGAATCACGCCGCATGCATCCGAAACAGCGCAGCCGATGCACATGACGCAGTTGCTGTTGCCGATTTTGTCCACTTCGGGCCTTTTTGCATCTGGACTTGTCGAACAGGCCTGAAACCGCAAGGTGGGCCTGCTATAGTGCACCCTTCGTTCCGCGAAGAACGGAACGCTTTGCTGCAAGCTGTGGGAGAAGCCGCATCCAGGCTGGTGCAGACGCCGCCGCCGCCGCGAGGAATCGATCAGCCGGGATGTCCTGCCCATCGTTGTGGGTCTCCTCGTCGCCTCTTGCGCTGGAGAACCATAGCCATAGCCATAGCACAGAACGGGTGGCACCATCGGCTCAGATCAGAGAATGTCGAAGCTATCACGCTCAAGCCAGGAGGCAAGCCTTCCTGGCGAGAGGCCATCATCGGCCTCTGGGATTTCTCATCGTCTTTCTCGTCCTTCAGCCAAAGCCTCCTGGGGCGCTCTGAAGCCTGCGGAGGCTCCGCGAACGTGAGCGCGATCGCTCGAGTCGAGCGCATCGCCGTGCAGTTCGGCGCACGAACTTGTCAGCGCGCAGTTCCTGTCACGGCTTGTCGCAGCATTGCTGAGATTCACAAGCTCTTCCACTTGCTGAGGAGATGCGCAGGCTATCCGGACAACGCGCCTCCGAGGCCCAAGTCAGGGCTGTTTCGTCGGAGCGAACAGCTGCTAGCACAACCTATCAAATGCACAGGGCATGCACAGCCCACAAGGGCAGCCAGGGCAGCCGTGCTTGCGCCCAAGCCCAAGCAAAGGTGCTTTTCAAGTTCGGCCTCGCGGGAACCTTGAAGCCGCGCAGAAGCAAAGCGCAAGGCCGCACCGTGCTTTTGCACAGCTGCAACAACGATCGCTTCGTTGTCACCTCAAACCCAAGGCCCCGAAAACCGATCCTCTGCAGCTCGTGCCACCAGGCTTGTGCTTCTCAACTTGAGCCCGGTGGCGCAAGGGCACAGCAGCATGTTCCAATGCCATCCCCGATTCGAGTACAGCTGCCAGCACCACCTGCAAGCGCGTGAATTTGATTCCCCGGTTGAAAAGACGTGGTGAGACCTTTGCAAAAACGATTGATGTATAGAGTGCATGTTTGGAGCGGCAAGGAGCAGACGAACAAAGTCTGCGAAGGTGTCCGGATGGTGTGCGAGGGAAACGGAGGTCTTGCAGTCTTATCAGTCTTGCAGAAACTAGCCCACCTGCGGACTCTTGCTTACGTTTCCGGCTCCTTGGACTTGCGAAAAAAGATGTCTGCAGTCTGCAAAGTCCACCTCGTCATCGTGTTGGAGATCCGGGCTGGCAAAGGCCAACGCGGCACCGTCGCGGCGAACTGCCGAGAGAACCAGGGCACGGTCGGCCTGTAGGCTCAGGGCTTAGAGTCTTAGACATGAGTCAAGCGCTGCGGACAGACCAACGAAGCTCCTGCAACTTTCTGTCAGCGCATTGCAAAGCCCAGCCACCGAACTGGGCCACCTGCTTCCCGCATTCGCAGATCCTCTCCGCGCCAGCCAAGCCAAAGCAACTAACGGGCATACAGGGAAACGAGTGTGTCGGCCGGTGCCGCAGGGTATGGTGTTGTGCAGCTGGACCGCTCTCACAACACACCGCGTGCATCTGCTCCAAGGCGGCTGTCGGGCCCTCTGGGGGTCTTTGGGCCTTGTGTCGCTTGTTGCGTGAGGGCGCGATCGGTTTGCTTTGCTCTTCCGTGCTCGGTTGGTGCTCTCGGCTGGGCTCTCCAGGCTTCTGACCCGTATTGACTCAATGCTTGTGTTAGTTGTCCTTGGGGTCGGGCAAAAGCCAAACGATGTCTACAACATTCGACTTGTCGAAGTATTATGGACTGATTATGGATTCCTGTGACCCCGAGTTGTAGCTCTTGGAAACCACGGAAAAATGAAAGTGCACGGCGTCCAGCCCGTTGTCTCAACGGCCGCGCGAACAACCTCATGGTCTTCACGCAACTCCGGACTGGCGTAGGTCAGCGCATATCCATTCCGGTGCACGGACTGCCTCGACAAATCCCAACTCTAAGCTTTGCCGGATGTGATCTTGTTTTGCGAGGCTCGCAACATCGCTATTACCTCGACTCCTCAACATCGCTATCACTTTGACTCCTCACCCACACACAAAGAAAGCAAGTTCACCGAAAACAATGAGAACAACATCAACACCATGCCGCTTTTCCCAGCTTGTTCACCGGCCGCAGCCAAGGTGCAACACAAAGTCGCGATTGCAGCGCAGCTCCATACTGGCAAATTGAAACGCATTGCCATCCTGTCCAATCGCCTTCAGGACCACCTCGCGCAGTGAGCACGCCAGAAACAAAGAGGGCACAGACCACAAAAAAAGCACCTCCGCATCGCCACGAAGTTCTGGCACTGCAAATTCCAAAGCTAGGCCATGTCGAGCCACGGCAGCGAGCACCACCTCACGATCTGCCTCAACAGCTCTCTCGGCTGCGGCAGCTATGGAAGCATCTCGGGGCTGCCTGCAATGGTCGGTCCGCGCACGCCAGCGCGAAACCGCACCTGCAACGGCTGTGGGCCCCCAAGACATGTCCAAAGGACGTGGAAACTGCCCCGACTACCCCGGCGAGTTTCTCCCCAGACCGCCTCTGCACGGCCTCCAGCACCAGGCCCCGATCACCACGCAGATCTGGGGAGGCCTTTCTTTGTGTTTTCACAAGGGCACGGACTCGCGCTGGATTCGAATTACTGTCCCACAACCTTACCTTTGGTTAGTAGGGAGTTGAAGAATGGTAGTAATAGTATTTATAATCGTACCCCATTCCTCCATTCCCTACTATCCAAGGGTAAGCAACAAGAGGCAAGAGCTTAGCCTGGCACCCATTGCAGTGCGTCATCATCCGCACGAACGGCAGTCATCAGGACTTCCCGGTCGTCCCTGCCATAAGCATCCCAATAAGGATCCTACGATTTAGGGTACTATACCACTATACTAGGCTTCCCCATATTCGGAAACTTCCTTCAGCCCATAAGTGGCGCCGCAAATGCGCAAAAGCTGTCCTGATCAGGTCCGGCGCTTCCGACAGATCTGCCTGCGAGGGCCCAGACTGCCACATGGGAGTTTCCGAAAATAAAGGGGTACCTCATTTTTGGGTCCTTATAACAAGGATCCTGGAATTTAGGGTGCTATGTTAGGGTCCATTATTTTCGGAAACTCCCAGACATTCGGCGAAGCTCGAAGCCTTCTGGGCAATCTTCTCCAGCCACTCCACCTGCTCAGCCGGACGGCGCAGAAGAGTAATGTCCACCTCTATGTCGGGCGACAAATCCTCGAAATTCACTGCATACATTCACCGCATGCATTCTGCACCGCAGAATGCCCGAGTTCCTGTCCTTCAAAGACTGGAGCTCCCTCCCGTCGACTACGAGTCGTTGCTCCAAGACCGAGATGCCGCATTTTGACGCCACCAAGGCTTTCAGTGCCTCGTGCCGGGGCCGGCTTTACTCGACGTCTCCCTCATGTCACTTAGGCATGGCAGGGTCAGAGACGGCCTCAATCGGCTCCTGCCGATTCGCAGCAAGGCAGCAGAGCGTGTTCCCAGCCAGGCTGCGCACAGAAATACGGAGCTCGTCGTGATCTTGCAGACCACCCATTGGAAATCTTTGCGGGTCGCCTTCTGTGCCCCAACATTTGTGTTGTCTGCCCTTTCTGCGTCAGCTGCTATATGCGAAAATAAACGCAAAACGCTGCGTACGCTCATACTGTCATGGTACTGCTGCTGACCTCGGTGGGTTCTTTGCCTTGCTCGTATCTGTCAAAACCTTATTCGGGTCCTTCTACTTGTGGCCTGTCGTTTCTGCGAGAGGTCCTTGGTCCTAGAGCAATCGGCAGCTTGCTGTAAAGCGGCTACGGAAGTGCTGGACAGAATCGGCCGTAGAAGCCGTGCAAACCGTGCCTGCTCTGTGTCGTTCTTCTTGCCTTTGGAAGAAGGCCTCAAGGGCACAGAAGACTTGGCATTGCTGGCCAGACTGCATTCCCAATCATCTGTTTGGACCTTTGATGGTGTCGCTACCAGGCTAGGGTTGCCACGAAGGGTCTGGGAAGAGATGCTGCATAAACTCGCGCCAGGCCCTCTCGCTTGCCTGGCAGAGGATGACGCAAGCTTGCTTTCTTCAATATCCGGACCATTCGGACTGCCTGGCCACCGGATGGAAGACCAATACTTTGAACGGAGTCCTGCATGCGATATCGCTACACCTTTGCAAGTGCGACCTGGCTAAGAGCCGCTTGCGCTGTGCTCCGCTGCTCTCCTTCCCAGCAGCCACGCAGACCGGCTTTGAGTGGTCCAGCTGTTCAGGCAGGCCACCTGCAACAGTGCCGAAATGTCTCGCTTCGTCAAGGTGTCGCTGGGTGTCATGGGCGGCACCTTTGGGGGCCACGCCGAAGAGCAATTGCCGGAGAACGCTTCGCATGGCGTTCATCGAGGCCTTCTCCTCTCGCCCCCGCCCCATTCCACGGAATTTCCACTACGAGGCCGGGTGCCATTGGAGGCTCCTTGAGAGAGCACAGGACCAAGTGTGCGCCATGAACCAGGGCGTAGTGCCGAAGCCTTGCTGCGGACCCTGGACTGTAGACTCGCTAGCCGCTAGACATTTGAGCGAGTCAGCAGAGGCCACGGCGCTCTGCTCAGGTTCTTCCGCTTCTCTGGATCAACTTCGGACGCCAGCACATCCCATTTCGTGCCTGAGCCAAGCAAGTAACCTGCAACGGAAACCCTGTGCAGCCGCATGCTTTGGCCCTGCATGAGGAATAACTGAAGCACGCCGGCGAGACCTTGCTTTCACTTGCATCTGCATGCACACGCAAGTGTGTACGTGAGACAGCTATCCACTTCAGCGAAGAATTGGCCAGCACGGCTCTGTGACGCTGGAACATATGGTGCTCTCAACAGAACACAAATCGGAAAATGAAGGGCCCGAAGGGCTCTTTGGGGATGTCTTGCTTCAGTGGATCGCAGCACCACTAAATAGAACCGAGCATTCACAGGCCTTGAAAGGAACAGTCGCTTCGCGCTATTTCAAGCACGAGCTGGAAATACTTCTAAGGCGATGACGCGATGCATTTCATACAAGCCGATTCGCATTGCAGAGATGCAGCTAAGGTCCGGCAGCCGCTGGGAGAGCTAACTGCCCATTAACGTCGCGTGTTTAGGGGGTCATTTCAGAAGATGCGGAGGCGTCGGCATAGTCCAGAATGGGTCGTTGCTGTCATGGCCCACCTCAAATGCACTCGTGAGCTTTTAGGTGCTTGCTAAGCCTTCTGCTCGAGTTCTCCCAGGGTTTACTGATGCCATGCCACCGTGTTGAAGAAGCCGTTGAAAATGAAATCGGTGAGCCCGTAGGAGGCTCTCTGCGGCGTGTACATGTCTTTGGAGACCCACATGCCCAACTCGTCCTCCGAGCACAACTGGATCTGTCATGCGAAAAGGCTGCCCGGTGCTGCCACTGTTGCAACGAAAAGGGTCGTGTTTACAAATGCATGCTTCGTGGGCACGGCCTTGTAGACGCACTTGAACCTCACAGCTGGAGTGATTAGCACAGATTCAGCGAGAACTGTACTGAAGTCTGTTCGCACCGGCCCCCCATCAAACGTGATCTTACCCCTTCGCATCGCGGTGCATTCGGATCTTGCCTTGCATGGCCCAACTCCCTGCACCTCCAGGCTATAGCCTGCAATATCCTACAACATGTGAACATGCCTCTGCCCAACGACAATGGCAACAAAGCCATCGCTCACAAGAAGGAAGATGCAGGCCGCGCGTGCTCACATCTCAACTACCTCACGACCTGCACGAGAAGTGTGCTTAACAGATGCCAGTAGGGCATTGCCGGAGGCACCGTTTCAAGCACGCAAGCAGCTCTCCTGTGGAACGTTGGGCAGCGCACGGGAGGGCACATGACAGCACGAGACGATCGTGCGCAATACATACAGAGCTGCGGCACAGGCGTGTCGTGACCACAACACGCAGTGCATCAAAAGCATCGCCGGAATGCACAAGTGTAATTAAACAGCTGCGAAGAACCCTACAATGCAGCGGGGAGGGGCCGCGGCGCAAAGCACTGAATGACTCAACGCGTTGGCTAAGCTGCTGAACCTATCCATGCTGCTGTAGCCGAGGCACCGATAGTAACGCTCGGTGAAGATAGCCATAACCACCTTGGACTTGGCACAATTTTCTGCTAAAAAAAATCGCCACTTATCGTTTGATGCAGCAAGCTCTACAGCTATGCCTGCCCCACCCTGTCTGCTACTCTAGTAAATGCTTCTGCTAAACCACCCGCCCCTTTGGGCGTGTGCCGCCTGCCGCCGAGGTGTTGGGCATAGGTATGTGATCGGCTGTCATCATGCAGCCAAGGTTACCCTTTCTCGGTCGTTGCGGCTTTGGCTTGACGCAGCTGGTAGGGCATGCTAGACTCTGCTAGACACTTCTCCGCAGTGATTGCTCATTGAGTTTTCTTGTCGTGCCACAGCCACACTCCACTAGGGTCTAAGCGACATGCCCTTTATGCCGCTTCGTGCAGATGTGCAGATTTCACCATACCTGAAACGTCACTCATCAAGGTTTGGCACCACAGCCTCGCTGCAGCTGCAACATGCTGCAGCGGCAAATGGCAATACTCCGTTCCCACATTCCGGATGGCTGTTTTAGTGATTGTAGTCGAGGCGCAAGTGTCATGATCAGGCGTAGTGGCACCACCTGCCTGATCACAGAAGCTCGACCGGGCACTCTGCAAGGCACCTGCCTCCCTACGCACCTTTAGCCCTTGCCACATGCCCGTGATAGTGGATTTCCGCTTTTCCCGCTGTGCCTGAGGAGATCACCGCATGACGCCTCGTGGCCCTTCCGTTCCTGAACGGGCTCCTCGGCTTCGCAGTCGCGGCACAAGGCATGCCTTGTGGCAGATGCAGCCCAGCAGCTTCTCTCAGAGGTGCGGAAACACCTCCAGGACTCCAGTTGAAGGCTGAACGGATCATGACGGAAGCATGTGACGGGGAACTCCTTCGTCGCAAAGCATGTGTGGGGGCTGAGAGGTAATGAAGTGTAGTACGCCGCTGTTGCTGACGTCTGCATCTGTGGATGATATGGCACCCTCTTTGATTGACAATTTCACTCATGTCTCTCAGCAAGCTGCAACGCCAGATTCCCATGTCTTCGTGTTACGTAGCTTCACTTTCGGCCTAACAGGCCGTGGTGCTGTTTTGGTGGAGCAGAACAGGCAACAACCTGACGCGTAAGCCTGTGGTGGTCAGTGTTTCAGACAACTCTGCAAGAAAAAGCTGTGAAAGCCCCTCTGCCAAAGGCGTCAGTCCTTCCTGCACAGTTGACGTACAGTTTTTTGCCGACAATTCTAACACATGCGGACGGGCCGACTAGCAGTGGCTGGAGCAGGTCTTGGACTAAGAGCATTCAAGACGACCGATGCCGCAGGGAATCAGGCTGAGGTGCGACGGTAACTTCCCCTCTATACACTCTTGCAGTTCTGTTTCTTGTGTCCAGAGTAATGCTTCCACGTAGGGTCTTTGGGCAGAAGGCGGGGTTTATGCCGAGATGTTACTGCCCGCCGTCACAACCACTTCAAGATATGCTGATGCCGTAGGCACCCTTCCGTGCATCAGACTGAAAATCAAGATGCGAATTGGCGGACAGCTTCTTCTCAGAACGCGAGGGATTATGAAAAGCGTCGCCAAACCAGTGGGAAAAGTGATACTTGCACTGCCTGCAAAACGCGAGGAACGTCGGGGAGCTTCAAAGCACGCAACGGACTCCATTTTCAGTTTTCAGGTTGTCGTCCTGCTCGTCCTCGTTGTTTTTTCGTTGCAGCAACCGCTGCTGGCTGAGAGTGCAATCTTTGTGTGTTGCTGGACTCCTTTTGTCCTTCATTCCGCGGTTGCACAGTCCACCGTACACACCCTGCCAAGGTCGGTGTTGAGTGAGTTTGAGCAGTCAGGATTGTTCTCAAAGATCTGGCGACCTAATCATGTTCAATCTGCGAGTGCATGCACCCGCTGTGGTGCCTTCACTTGTCGTCCCATCCTTTTTCTCGTCTGCATTGTACCGCCTTGCCGAAGCCACATACTGCTTGCCGTCTTCTACATCTTTGTCTGCGAGGTGTTCTTTTCGGAAGTCCAGCATGTTGTCCAGGATCCATCGGCCGGCATGAGTAATCATAGAGTCGTGCCTCAGATGCCAGATAGCTAAAAAAACAGATCGATATCCAGCAACCTGCGACTTCGCACTTGGTCCGTCCAGACACAGCATCTCATCGACTTCCAGGATGAAGGCCATTGACATGGCCCCGAGGACCGTGTCCAAAATTCCCGATGTGTCCAAGAGAAGGGTCGTGCCCTCCAGCAAGACCTATCTGGTCTGACGCAGTGCCCCCTGACTACATGAGCACCTCTCAGCTATGCACATAAGGAAATTCTGCCAGCCGCGGGACGAAGTAACACAATGCCAGCTTGGGGACGAAAACAAGGATGCCGGTGATCAGCTTCCAATGACAAGGCATTCCTGCAATGCCTTGCCCAGTTGCTGCATCGTGCTGAAATGCTTCGGTGCTGAATCGCTGAAGGCGCGAGCCGAGATACGGAAGACAAATTTCTCTGAATTTGAGTTGCTCTCGATCCAGTGGCACTTGTCTGGATCACTGGGCCTGGCGGAAATGTATGTTCGCCCCGCGGTCAGACCAGTACAATGAAAACCAATCCGTCGCTGAAGGGCAGTCGAAAAAGCTCTGAATACCTTGATGCAATGCACCGCCAAGCTGCAGTTTCCAAAGCATTGCCAACATGCGGAAGCAGACTTGAATCCTCGGGCAGCAGGTGGGGCAACAGCTTCGGCAATGCTCTCTGCAGACTTTGCACCACCTTGGAAACGAAGACCGCTCTCTCTGCCCAGCCCAGTGGCTCGTGATTCACCGACATGACGAAGAGAAGCAAGCACAGCCAGCGGCAGGTTGAATTCTCCATACCGTATTCTCCAGGATCAACTTTTGCATTGATGACATCTTCCTAGAGGATGGCCCAACAATGTCATGCCCAACTGCACCAGCTAAACTGATGACATCACCGCCGACAAAACTTTGCAAACATGTCTAAGTCTAGGCACTCGTCATGAACACGCGAGTTTGGGTTGCATCCAGCGAGATGCACTTGGATAGTGGTGGGCACGAGAGCTCCAGGAAGTCCATTCTTTAAACTCTGGACGACACGGAAGTGGTGAAGCCCCGTACCCGAGGCCAAGATCTAATGTTGCTCGCCGGCTTCACTTCCGACGTGTTCTGTGTGCATGCGAAAGCGCACGGACATGCACAGAGCTGTGCCTGCTCCGCCAACCCCGATACGGCACGTGAGACAGTAGCGTCAAGTGGGTGGGAGCGAAAATCCGGGCCGATCGGCGGTGGCCCAAGCGGCCACGGGCCACCGATCGGTGAGGACCATCCCTGTCACTTCTACCGATCGGCTAGACTCCTAGGGTCCTAGACTGACCCCAACATTTTGCTACCAAGCCAAAGCGATCATTTTTGAAACGAAGCGTGGGCGAATGCATTTTGAGTACATGATGGGTGTGTGGTAGACTTCGGCTGCAAGCTGTAGCTGCGCAGGACCTGCTGGGTGCCGGTTGCTTAGGTTGAAAAGGTTTCTGTCAGGCGTGCGCAGGGCGTGCGGGGAGGGATGGGGTGCAGCACCAGGTTGCAAACAAAATGCGAGCAGGCAATTCAAGAGTCCTGCTCCGGCATCACATCCAGAAGCGCCTGCCAAGACCAAACCAAAAACTGCAGGAAAAGATGCACTTCTCGGCAGATTGACGGAACCTGACAAAGTGTCATGCTAGACTGGCCTGCTTGGTGAACTTCTGCACTGCCCACTGTGTATAGCCGTAGAGGCGTGACGGTGAGAATTGGGTGCCTGCGTGCTACGAGTTGTCCCTGAATCTCAGTCTACACTTCTGCACGGGCCTCCCGGACCCGTGCAGCGCGGCAGAAATTCCGCATCCGGGCCCTTGCACACGTCCAGGTCCGCACCGAAGTCACAGAGATGCATCCTTGCGACACGTATGCCAAGGCCGGGCAAAGGCGCACGGCAGCTGTTCATCGGGTTGATGGCTAGCAGCTGGCAACGTTCAGATTCAGCAGCCGAGCAGCTGCCCACCCAAAGGATTCATGATCTGGGTTGCTTCACCTCTGACAGCTCACGGTGCCAACGTCCGGACACTTGAGCTGCGTTGATTTCAAGTCAAGCCACCCACGAACATCCTTAGTTTCAAGCGGTCATCAGGCGCACTGCAACGGTAGGCGACACGCTGCCTGGGACCCCCGGCACCAGTGCCAGCTGGACAAAATAGTTCAGCCCCAGTGCCATGTAGGATCGAATCCAAAGGCTGACAAACCTCGGAACGCTTCGCAGAAAGGCGCCGGGTTACGGTGAGCTGAACTTCGACGACTGCGGACTGGTAGCATGCCCTTGTAGCCAGAGCTTCTGGCGAGCTGTGGGAAAGCGATTGCACTGCCTGGGGCTGGCTCAATATTTAGACTCCTTCTCTTTCTCAGAAGTTGCCACGAGCCCCGCACCATATACAGAGCTTTTTTCCAGTCGGAATACCTCAGGCATTGATGGTGTGCAGGGCTCTGTGATCAATGGCACTCATCGAGCGGTCAGGTGGCTGTTTGACTGTCTTCCACCTCAACGAGCTTCCGAGCTGCCTTCTCAATGGCCTCCCAACTACCAGTACCCAACTGCGCATAACAGCGCCAAAGATAGGAATTGATGGGTGTGGCACTGCGGCACTGCGGCGGCCTCGGAATGTTCCGCCTGCGTCTCTCCTCGCGGGAGCTCCATAGGCTGCACGGCTGAAGCCATGGCAAGGGTACTTGAACTCATCGGAACAGCCCTTCGTTCCCGAGTTCTTCGAGCCAAAATCGAGGCCGAGCAGGCGACAGACTTGTCAGAGCTTGCATGCAGAAACCACGCAAGGCATGCAGAGAGACATGTCCACGTCGAGGCCACGACCGAAAATCACCAAAGGCACCTTAGACGCTGGTCAATCGGTCTTCATGGGGGCCAATGCACGGGTTGCCCTGATCAACCGGAGCACGTGGGACTTGCGCCCTAGCTAGGGCCAGGGCGAGCCATGATTAAGCTCTGAATGCTTGACGTACTCGCACTCTAAGCCACTCGTAAGGCCATACTTCTGCTGCTGGAGATGCGGGATTTGTGCTTGAGCTGTGCATAGCTCGGCTTAGAGTTTAAAGTCTGCGCTCTCGGTTTTCCTCCTTTCGTAACTAAGCAAAAGGTTGCGACACTGATTTCGACATCGAGTCGGAATCACGACAGGGGCTGTCGCTTGCCTTCCACTACACAGCAGAAACTGCTCTGCAGCAATGTATGGGCGTGACTCCTGACTACACTGTCCTACAGTATACTATGCTAGGCTATACTACCACCTATGATGTACTGTACCAGTGCAGGTATCTTTCCATAAGCCGACCTCGGCCCCCAAGAGTCCAAGAGCTTGCAGTGGCTCCATTCCGGCTGCCCTTTGGAAGTGGATTGCTTCAAAACCATGTGAGGCATGTTCGCCTGCACCTGGGTACATACGTTTGCGTACAGCGGCTGCCGACTTGTATGATTTCGCATGTGTAAGGAAGAGGCGCTGCCCAATGCACACTTTTTCGGAACAAGGTTTGACAAGCAAGTCAGGCGAAAGCGCTCACTGCAGAGGGAAAAGCATGTGCAGATTTTGCAAAAATGCTGGTGGGCTGGGCGTAAACCAAGCTAAAGCAGCCGTTACCCGTCTGCGCACATGATGCGCATGGACAAAAACGGATGGGCCCGGAGGTTTAGGATCAAGACTTCGCTCGACTCTTTGTTTGCAAACACGGTTGGAAGATTTGCTGATCGTGCGAGCGGACGCGATGCTGTCCGAATGACCTAAGACTTTCTGACATGAAAGCATGATGCATTCGAACAGCGCTGGGCTTTGTGGCGTCGCAGGCTCCCGCTGTGGACAGTTATTGAATATGTAGCTTGGAAAATCCGGTGTACGTGCGCACGCGAAGTGGCACCGAGGAGCCATCATCTACGCAAACTGCGACCGATCCGGCACTGCACGACTCCTGAGCCTGGGGCCGGGAACGGCGTGATGAACCCGCGATCTGGGTGCTCTGCGTAGGCATTTGCACGCAACCTTAGCACTGGGGCGCTCCATGGCGCTCCGGAGCTGCTACATCTGGAGAACACTTTGGGACTGCTGCGCTCGTTGAGCATCAACGTGAAGCAAGCCAGGTGGGTTCTCCTGGCAGGGTGTCATTGCAGCTTCCATTCACATGAAAAAGACCGGTCACAGATAATAGGAAGCATTAGTGCTGGTAAACGGCCTGTGCCAACATCTGCAAGCTCTTATCCACGTGACTTCGGAGTAGCTGCAACCTGGCAGCTGGCCCAAATGTAGTCCAGATAAATCAATGCAATAGCCCTGTGTTCCGCAGCTCTTTCGCCCTTTACACTGCAATCAAGGCAGGAGTACCACTTCTCCAAGTTCGGCACACCTGACGCTGTTATTCCGATCTTCGCCGACTTGCATTGCAGCACGTGTCGGTCGAGTAACAACGGGTGTCAAGGCAAGTCCGACCGCCCTGTCTGCGCTCCGAATTGCCGCCAGGTTGCAACTGTGTGGCCTCTGAAAATGCAAAAGAAGCAGCGCGAGCTGTGCGGGTAAATCACGGCACCGTGGAGCGTTCGACAGTTGCAGTCGGGAGGCTCTGACAGGTCCAGCCTCGTGCAATGACAGGTATCATCTACGAAGACATGACTGAGAACGCAGGTGTAAGAGAGTTGCGACGTCGGTCTCTCAGGCAGCTGCGTTATCGCCAGTACAAGGTTTCCAACAGTTGCCTTTGAAACGGGAACACCCAGAAGATTTTCATTTGCCTGGCGCACGGTCTTGTCAGAGGTTCCAGCTATCACAAAGCACCTTGGCAAGCCCACGGTCTAGCCTCGTCACCACCAAGGTCATAAATATGCGCCAGCCTCATTGGCTTGTGACTACTGTGGCCGGGAGCGGACGCTACAGCTGCAGGACGCAACTGGGTCCTGCACACTTTAGATGATGACCCGTCCGTTGCGTACCGGGCAAACTTGTAATCCTGAACACCCCATGCCACACAGCGCAAGCTCCCGGTTTGAAATGTTCACCGGCTCTGCCCTCCAAGTTGCTGACAAGAGCGACCGTTGCCTTCGGTTGGTCCTGTCACTACACAACAGCCTGATGTTTTGTCTCTGAAAGCCCTAGCAGAACAGGGCTGGCCTTCTCATCCTTGGTCGGATTGATAAACCGGTCCACTAGCGACGTTTTGCCAGACCTCATCTGCGCAGAGTCCGTAAGATAATGCCACCATCCATCTCCTCTTCATTGCTCAGCGAAGGGCTTCTTCGATCCACAGAAGAGGATGGTCACATCCTCAGACCATGCTACTATGTCAGCGGCTTGTTTCAAGGAATCCAGCACCTGCACGAAAGCGAACCAAGGCATTTGCATTTGCAAACTCTTCGCCCGCACTTCGTTGTCCGTACTCCTTCGGAAAGCCCATGCAAAATCTGCCAGGGTCGGCTGCGGCTATAGCTCAGTAAGCATCTTCACGGTATGGCAAGCTGCTGCCGGTCTATGATCCACCAGAAACAGGGACTGCTTCTCTTCACGTCCAGCGGCTCCCAGCTCTCACAGATACCAGACAGTTCTGGAAGGTTCGTAGATCGGCCCTCCCGTTGCAATTAAGACTTGTTCAGGCCCGGTGACTCCGAGGTTTCGATCAAAACCTTGTTTGCATCAGGACTTGTGCTGTCTCGACAAGATGAGTTCCGAGCATTCCGACCGGATTCCAAACTGTGCTGCATATCCTCGGAGCTACCAGCCCTGAACGGGCAACGGGTTGGCCTCAACAAAAAGCCCGACATGCTCTGAACGGCGTAAGTAAAAGACTTGACCCTCTGCCATAAACCACACACACGTTGTAACACCGCAAAAGCATCTCAAAGTGACCCTAACCTGCAAGCAGCGAACTCCTAAATCACATATATACATATACATATACATCTACATCTACATCTACATCTACATCTACATATACATCTACATATACATATATATATATACATCACATGGGAAGGGGAGGTTGAGATGACGGATTGGGCCTTCGCGAGTGAGTAACTTGGGATGCTGCGTTGCCATTGCCATTAGGAAAGCCCGGCAGCTCCACATCTCCTTCCTCTTTCTGGGCCATCCTTTATCGTAGCTTGTCGTAAGAGCTCAGCTCCTGGGTTCTGGATTACCCAGCCAGCACCTTGTAAGTATGCCGTCCATACCTCTCTGACACCCATCCATCCCACCGGCGTTTGCATCCCAGCGAAGCACAAGTCCTCTGTCAGCTTTGCGAAGATCCCAGTCGAAAAGTCGTCGACCTCCTTGCGGCTTCAAGCAGTACTGGAAAAGCCGACACGCCAGCAGAAGCGCTCCAGTCCTTCTTTTTGGCTTTGGCCATGAACTCCGTCTGCCAACCTGGCACGGGCCCACTTCCGTCTCCGAAGCGAAGGGACCAGGACGCGCAAGGACACTGCAGCTAAACTCGAGGCACCTGCTCAAGCTGGCAGGTGTCAAGCAGCCCGCTACAGGCTACTCTACGCTGACAAACCGCGGGCAGACAGAACTCTCCTGGATGCTGGCGTTGCTTCCTGCGCTTGGTAGTGGCGGACACAAAAGCACTGGAGCCTTTTTACAGCCAAGCCCGCGTCGTTCCTAAGCTCGCGAAACACAAAAGATCCTTCAGGAGCTTTGTGCGAGACTCTACCATTCCGATCCATTCCGTACCTCGGGACGTGAGATGTGCAGGGTCTTCCTGCCCTCATCGATGTGCTTCCTCGGCTCCGAGACGTTCACGGAGGTCTGTGGAGCCTTAGAGCTTCTAACCGTTTCTAACCGTTTCCGCTGTTTTTCGCAGAGACTAGAAATCTGTACAGGGGGACAGGCAGCCCAGTGGCTACAAGCTCTCTATACCAGTAGCTTCTTTGAAGCATCTGACCGCTGTCTTTGACAAGGCCGCTGGTCTCGCTCACTGAAGTCGCCCGCTTTCTGGCTAAACTTTCGGAGCTTTCTCTTTCAGAACCTGTGTCGCTGTGTAGCCTTCTCCGATTGTCGAAGCGCAAACCTTGGATTGCAGGAAAGACCGTGCTATCCAAACTAGCAGTTAGAAGTACTGTAATCTGCTGTGGGACATGCAGTCGTTCGCCGAGCCTTTTTCATGCAAGCAGGTCGCTCTTTCAGCTTCCGAAAGCTGCTGATTGGATAAGGCAGCTCGCGCATGTTTTGCTCCGGCCGCACACCTAGAAAGTTGCTCAACATCTCCATGAGCTCCTCAAGAAAGAAGGTGGCAGCATGCAGTGCAGTGCTTGACAGTCTGCTCTCGAAAACAACTTCCAACGAATTGCCGAGCATCGTTTGCATCCAGGTTCTTGATATATGAATCAGAAATCGGCCAAACACCAAGAAGTTCTTGCTGTTTCTCGAACGAGACCTGCACTGCAGGAAGTACGCCCCTTGTTAACTCTGCAACCATGCCAGATTTTGCTCCGAATCCTGAGGCTTAGACATTCTCCATCAAGGAGAACGGCTTGTACATGTGCACCATGCCGTTTGGTCCGGTCACCAGGGAACGTAAAATGGTTAAGAACTCGAGGATATCCTGAGTGCCACTGTGGGCTGTGGTGGGACTTCCACGTGAAAACCAAGGCAGCCAAGGTTCAATACCTTCACTGCGTTCGACGTCGATGGATGCCCTCCGAGGCAGCTATGGTCCGCACGAAGACTTGAGCTTATATAAGCGGCGTCTCGTCTGGTCTGTTCCGAGCGGCAGGACATGCTTGAGCTGTTGCTCGTCTGGCATCCGCGCAATCAGTGGAATCAAGACCTGTGTTGCACATGCGCTGCTTTGGCTCCTTACATGCAAGTTCGGAATTAGCCTCGCGAAGCTCGTTGCGAGTCAACATACCGTCACCATCTTGGTCCGCCACATCGAAAGCTGCCTGCGCCACAACACAACAACCGAAACCCAAGCATCCGGAAACCAAGCAGAAGAGAGGTGGCAATGAAGAGCACCTGGATATCTGCCAACTCCGTCATGGTGAAGTTGAGGGCCTTCGCTGCCTGCAACTGATCGCAGCACAGCAGATCTTCGCTCGAATCTTCAGCAAATCAGATCCCCGAGGCCTGAGAAATGCGCTCAGCCTGAAGTTGGCTCAAACGCTCCCACACGAGCTGGTAGATGAGACTGAAGCCATAGAAGTCGACACTTCCTCAAACAAATCATCTCCGACTCGATTTGCTGATGGACTCATCCTTGAACTCTTCCTATCCTTCTAGCGACGGCTTACAACGCGATCTAGTCCATCGAAAAGCTTCTGCAGCTACTCTTTGGAGGAATCCGGACCCTTCTATGCTCTCACGGGATGCTTCGCTGCAGGCAAGCTGCCAGCGTCGTCTGCCATCGCCTGCCGCTGCCTGGCCCAAGCAAAACCGCTGTTTTTTGGCCATAATGGCCAAAAACTGACAAAAATAGGCCTTTGCCTAGATGGGAAACCCGCCAAAAAACCGGTCTGGCCGGAATGGCAGCCCCGGAAGGAATAGCGCTTAGATCAAAGAAAGGCGCCGCATCCCCTGTAGAGGATTCACTGCGTTGCGCTGCGTCGCGCTGCCTCATCTTCCGAGGGCTCAAGCTGCTGCTGCGAGGGGACGTTGTGGAGGGCGAGTCAGCCTCGCCTCGGAGAGAACGTCGAAGGCACCGCTGATCCAAACCGGATAGGCATTGAACAACATCTTTGCAAAATGACTCCATCAAAGGATCCGCTGGGCTGAAGCACAGCTCGGAGATCAAACTCCTTTAGGAATGAGATGGAAGGAGCCGAGCGAGCGACGCATGGAGAGGCCTATCCAAACGGAAGTCCTCATCTAGAAGCTCTTGTGCCAGGGCGTACTCACGTCTTGAACGAAGCAGGCCCTCCTGCGCAGAACAAATAAGTTGTGCTTCGGCGCTGCCGCCTGCGCTGCCCGACTCGCAATGGCCTGCGCAAGAGCTGCCACGATCTGGTCGAAGTCCAAGCAGCTGTTCCTTTAGATACTTAGATAAGTCACAATGTTCAGTGCCACACTACATGGAGATTGCACAGGGCTCTCGTAGAGTATCCAAGAGTCAGGTCCAAATCCAGACTCAAATAGACCTTCTGAAGCCGCGAGCGTCTCCGCTTCATCCTAAGGTAACATCCGAAACAATGCCGCACCGGAAACCAACACGACCCACAACTGTACGCACGGTTTGATACTCCAAGCTGCATGAATGTCCGCAGATGGTCAACCAAAAGCAGAAATTCGTTGAAGTCCTGAGTGATCAACCTGCCTCCGCTGCCTTGTAAGGAAATTTCACAAGCGAACAGAACAGGCTAAGCTGAGGTCAACCTCATCGTCATGATTCTCGTCTACCTGGCTGATGATGTGGTCCACCCTCAGCTCCCACTGCTGCCCATACTTAGGTACACCTTGTGACTGCACTGTGCCGAGAGTCGTGGCAGCCACGCTTCGTTTGTATGGCTCCAGGCCTCGAGTCGAAGACGGAATCCGAAACACGGCGTTTGGACCTAAGAGGAGCCTCTGTGCCACTAAGTCGCCCATGTATTTCAGCAGCCGCCGAACTTCAAACTGGCCCAGGAATCCGCAGTGATCGTCATCGTGGACGCTGAACATCTCCCACATCCAAAGCAGCTCCGGCCTCCGAGATCCGAGACATGTGGGAGTTTCCGAAAATTAGTACCGGGGTACCATCTTTTGGGGGGTCCTTGTAAAGAGGATCCTTGTAGCATTAGGGTCCCCTACTTTCGGAAACTCCCATGTCACGAAAGTTTCCCAAAAGCACTGACCACCGACGCCGGCCTGTGCTTTTTAAAGCGGTTCTCCACGACTTTTGCCTGCTTTGCCACAGCCTCAGAAGACAAAGCAGTTTAAAGCAACAAAAAGTTTCAGTAGATATCACGACCACACACACTCAAGATCCTTCCCTCTCTGCAGGCCGTCATATGAGTCGCCATGTTGCCCATTCCCTTGCGCTGGCGGCGCGCGCGGCCCTTTCCTCCAGCTGCAGCAAGCGGATGTGCACCTGGCATTGGCCGCAAAACAGGATCACTTCCTCCAGGGCACCCCCCCGATCTGCTGGTCTTCGTCCCGCCATCTCCAAGTCCAAGATGGTCTCTGGCCTGGAAGGACAGACGGGTTCCCCATCCTGGTGATATCGAGAACACGTAGCATAGGCCAGGCACCCAATCTTCATCTGCTTGTCGCGCTTTATGGCTGGTGGAAGCGGGCCTGCCATCACTGGGACAAGAAGGATCTTCTGCTTCCAACCTTGGCAGCGGTGGCCTTTCGCTTTGTCAAGCTCGAGCGCGGTAACCAGCTTCTGAAACTGATCGAAATCGATGCCGCTGGGATTCGGCGATGACTCGATTTCCTGTGCCAAGTAAGACATGCCGGTACAGATGAAAGAGTGAGCTGAACACCTGGGGAAAGAGAAGAGTCTGGCCTTGACGAAGAGCCGGAAGTGCAGTTCGGCCCTGGCAAATGACAGGAGCTACAGAAAGCCGCAGCACTCTCCGTGGCTTTTTTGGCTCCGCGTCCTCTGCTCGAAGAGCTCCCAGCGTGCCACTGGCACCACCTCAAAGGCACCCGGCACCCAGGACGACTTCAAGCAAAGTAGTCGTCACTGCGAGGCAAGCGCGCCTCAGCCCCGAAAGCCTCGATCGGAATGCCAGTCGGATGCGGCGTTTGGTGCTCGAGGATCGCGACAAGCTCCTCGCGTCTCGACAAGTATCTTGCCCAGATGGCTCTCGGAGAAACAGGTACAAAACATCAACAACAAGAACGTGCTAGTAAAAGATTGAAAATAGTACCAAAACGACAAGAAGAAGATTTATATAAATATATATATGTATATAGAATAGCAACGCCAGCAGAAATAACGGCAACAATTTGTTAACAAAAATCTGTACAACTCCCCCAGCAACAGCCCGAACAACCCCTCTGTTCTCTCGAAGGAATTAAAACAAGAACCAGAAATACCAGTGACTCCCCCGTTCTCTCGCAAGAACAGAAATAACTGCAAGATACTGCAATGAGTGATTACGCCCCCGTTCTCTCGCAAGAATAATAGACATGAGACATGATGATAACCAGAAACAGTAATGATGAGTAGTTACCTTCAGCCCGTGTTGTTGATGGCATGATTTGGGTCGGCCTCCGGGGCAGGCCGAACATGCGTAGTGCAAGGCCGTCATGTAAAGGGGTCATATTGAATGTCACTTTCACAGTTTTCCATTCATACCTGTGTGGTGCGGGCAGACGGCCAGCATATACCTTTGCTGTGCGAACACATGGTCAGCATGGCCACGGATGACGTGGCTGAAGAATGCATAAGAAGTCAAGAAGTGTGCCGTAGGGTTATGGGTTTCAAGCAGTTTGAAGGCTGGGGCCTTAAGGCCCAATCCGCACACCTGGGGACTAAGATCATTTGGACGACTTGCCGGTGCGTATCCGACAAACATTGGCCGGTTTGCTCGGCATCGTACTGGGAATCAGGGTTGTTAGACTGTTAGATAAAGATGCTGACTTCGTTCCTGGGGTTCGCGCAGGCACCGCACCTTTGAGACCGGACTTCCAACCCCAGCAGCAACAGCAGCATCAGTCTCTTGATCATCCACTTCCTGTCGATGCTCGTGTGATCACTTGTTAAGGCAGTCTTTATCGTCACAGTATCTTTCCGGGCGCAACTCCGCGGAAAGTGCTCACATCGTTCAACAACCCGATGACTCCCCCATTCTCTCGCAAGAACACAAATAGTAACAACAGCCACAATGACAGCAGAACAACAAGACTCATAATAACAGTGGTATCAACACAAATTATGCAAGACTACTAACCATAATATCAACAATCTTAATACTAATAATACTTAACAATAATAAATATACTAATAAGTTACTAATAATACATGATGATACCAACGATCATAGCAAACAAAGAAACAGATAACCAGAAACAACTTCTCATTTTCTCGCCTTGGTGGCTTGCTCGGCCTCTTGCGCGTCCTTGATCGTGGATGCCCTGAGGGGCTCCCGGGATTTCGTGTGAGAGCTCACCGGATTTCTTTGACGCTCACACTCCGACAAGCCTGGCAAGGTCTGCTGGGGTTTTAGTTTTACATGGTTTTTCTAGTGAAGGCGGGTAAACACAGCTCAGGCATCCTCCACGGCAACTCAGAACACCAAGGCCGGCCAGCACCCTCATTTTCTCTCTCCCGCTCTCGAGGTTCGGACAAACCCCAGCGCTGCAAAACGTGCATGCACAGCTACAAACATCCGCTCAGCAGCATTTGCTACATCACTCATTAGCTTCACATATGTCCACTGCATCCGCTACTGCATCCCCAACTAAGCCCAACTCCGCCAGGGCTTTTTGCCACTCGTCGAGCTGACTATGTCGCACTGCGGGAACTCGTCCGAACTTCGGAGAACAACACGTGGCAAGCCCCGGGTCCCCGAAAGATCCCCAAAACGACACGCCACCACCATCAGGGTTTACGCTCTCGCAACTCGGACACTGCCAGGCGAGGTCTCTCGGTTCACAAGCGCATTGACTGAACTACCCTGTTGAAGCCGCGATCAACGCAGGCAACGACACCGGAAATCACCATCAAGCTTTAGGGTTTTTTGATGCTCACACTCGGGAATACCCACCGAGGTCTGCAGACACAGGTTAGGGGTTGCGGCGCTCACACTCGGACAAGGTTTGGGGTTTAGTGGTCATGGTTTCGACTCTCACAGAGTTTCGGCGCTCACACTGTGAGTTTAGGGTTTCCGCTCGATGCCTTGGCTGTAGGCTCCGACATGCTTTAGTTAAGCCTTTTGGGGTTCTAGGTTTTCAACACACAACAAGACTCCGAAGTACAAGCAAAAGGCATTCATGAGACTCTAAGCTGCAGGAAGCCTGAAACCAGCGGGTTTGCTACACAGACGAGGTCTCTCCACATGGGTCGGTGGTGTTCGGGTTTAGGGATGTTCAGAATCATAATATATATATATATATATATATATACACACACATATATATATATATATATGTATATATATATATATATATACATATGTATATATATATACATATATATATATATGTATATATATATATATATATATATATATATCATAGAGTAGGTCTATACTCTTATCGCTTTTGGACCCGGGCCTCTGGGCTGTGACTGAGGATTGCCGAGGCTGACTCGCACTCATTCGGCGATGTTGATGACGGCTGCCCCGGACCTCGTGCAAGCTAAGGCAAGTGAGGGCTGCTCGGAGGTTCATGGGTCCGGGTAGTTATAAATGGGGTTACATATAAGTCCCGTAGTATGGGTTATAATTTTAGTTACCCCACTTATAACCCCACTTATCATTACCCATGAACCTCCAAGTACGTGTAGGTGTCGGCTTTGCTCTTGCCGACTTCAAAGAACATGTTGCGAAAACTCTGTAAGTCCGACATCGGTCTGAAAGCGTGATCCTGCCGACAGCCTTCCTATCGACTCGGAGTGTCTCGTTTCACCAGGCAACACAACTTCAGATCCAACATCATGCCGGAAGCTATATATCCACCTCCGCCCACCGTTTGACCACCCGTTCAACATCAGACTAGCTGGACCAACTTGCTTACTAAGTGTACAGGACGAAGCTTCGCAGATGCCGACCACATGACATGCTCTTTCGAGGAGGGAGCTTCGAACAGAAGCCCATGCTCATACTGTATGATGAATTGACAACCCGGCGATGCGACTTTGGAGCAGGGGGCACCTGCGGCTGTGGCTGCGCTGGCTTGGTCTTGTCTTGAGCCATGCGCGCCATCGGAAGAGCTGATAACCTTGGCAAGGCTTTTCGAGGCCCTCCCAACACACATATGATCGCCGCGATCACTATGATTCGAATGACTATGATTGTGCGATTTCTATGGTTGTTGCGATTAAATTATCATTATCAGATCAGCGGCTCCTTGGGCGTTTTCCACCAGACCTGGGGGGATCCCTTCGGAGCAGCGCCCCAGGCACCAGAGATGCCTTGCTCCTCCACACCTCGGCCAAAGCTTCCGCAGGGCTTTGCAGAGGGTTTTGGAAGTCCGGGCTCTTGATGGGACGAGGTCATGGCGGGCAGCGCAAAACAAGTCAGAGCACAAGCACAAAGACAGGCATCCGGGGTGACGCGCGTCCAAGAGCGAGGAGGGGGAAAGGAGTCAAAATGCGCGGGTTCGGGGATCTGGGCTTCGGGGCTTCGCGTTCAGACTGACTGAGGGTTGCTGCTTGCCAGGAAGTGCTCCCTCGCGAAGACATGATGGCTGATGCCGAGGGGCTGATCAACTCCTTCACAAGAGACGTGACAGCACGCTCCACCACAATGCGCTCCACCATCGTTCGCCCTGACCACTCAGGCTACGAAGAATCTGTTGAGTGCTTCTCGCGCCCAAGTCTTCGAGCGGACCTCGCAGGCCCATGTCCCGCAAGGCATCTAGGGCGGCTTCGGCAGTGAGCGTGTAGTACTGGTTGCAGTGGAGCTTGAAGGCCTGAAGCCGCCACAAGATCGCAAAACGAGATGTCGCGAGCCACCCAAGGTGAAGGAAAAAAGCCGGGAACCACACAGACTCCGTGGCTGTGCGCTCGGCTTGTGGCAGTGCCTTCCACACCGCCTCACAACTCCGGGCTTTCATGCATGATCTTTTGGATTTCCAACAGGATCAGTGCACTGGTGCACCTCTCGGTACCTCCTTTTTCGATTCATTCGATCAACGAACTTCTTCTTTTCCTTGCACTCAAGCTTCGCTACCCAATATTGAAGTAAGCTTGCTCGCCTTGCGGCACACTTCAGACTTCAGCTGCTTGATTGACTTGAGCCCAGCGTCACGGATACCGTTGATGGCTGCCTCTTTGACTCTCCTCACAGCAGAGCTCAAGCCGTTCGAGTCTTCTTGGAGGTTCATGGGTAGTTATAAGCGGGGCAAAAAGTATTGTATCTATACTTATAACCCATATTAGGGGACTTCTAAGCGCACTTCTAATTTACCCATGACCCTTCAAGTTGAGGGCGCTTCTGACCACACACCACAATATGGCTGTCCAGTGGATACCAGCCGTATCAGAATCAAGTCGAGGATCTTCCGAATCTGCTTGGAGCGCTCTGACAGCTTCTTCTGCTCCAGCTTGACAGAGTCCGCATCCTGTCAAACTGACTCTGTTTGCATGCACAACACACATCCCACGTCATCCGACTATTCCTAGTATTGCGTTGCCTCGGAGTCGGACGCACTCATCAAGCCATCGTAGTCGGAACCCTGGGTTCGGCAAGCATGAGCTCAGCCTGGTCCATGCCCGCGCCCCGTGCCCCGTGCCTCTCTCGTGTCTTCCACGGTGGCCACGGGGATGGAGCCGGAAAGCTTTCCCAGCACCTGACCGAAATCTGCTCCATCTCTGCTCGATCTAACACGGACCGGCGGTCGCTCCGGGCCCGCTCCGGGCACGCTCGCCCGGCCCCGGCCTGCTGTAGGCGCTGGTTTCTGTCGGCCTCCCGCGCCTCGGCGCCACTCGTCGCGCGAGCCCTCTCCACGGACTCCAAGCAATGAAATCGCTCTCCCCTTGGGCACTGACGTCCGTGGGCTGTGGCGTTACCTCATCGCCGAACCCCCCGCTGAGTCGCTGCCTAGCAGCCCCTAGCGCCATCGCACCTCCTTCTGCTTCTCTGGACTGACGACTTCGCGGCGCTGGCGAAACTCAACCGCAGAGCGACGGGCTTTCTGCGCTTCCGCCTTCCGTGGTGAGTGCAAGACGCAGCTACGCAGAAGTGCATGAACCCAACAATGAGGGACCTCTTCGACCAGCGAATCGCGCCGTATGCAACTCAACAAGTCTTCTGCACAGCTTCAGGCAGCACAGGCCTCGATCACACGCCTTCTCCGCTGGGCACGCTCCAGATTCTGCCGCTCGAGGTCTCTTTGAACCACTGGCACCTGTGTGGCTCAGCAACTTGGCAGCTAAGCTGCAATTGTGCGCGGCCAATGCAGCTTCGAAGCGCTTCCTCTGCAAATTTTGCCAAGCCTGGGATGCAACCGAATCTGGTGACACATGGTGACACATTTCGACAGCTCGACCCACAAATACAAAACCGGTAACCATGCTTCCCAAGTGCTCGCTGTCCGTGAGGTCCGCTAAGGCGCGGAGCGCCTCCACTTCCTCCTGGACCTCCGAAGGCTGGGACGCCGGCGACGGCGGCTCCAAGTCCTGGCACCGGCTGCCCGGAGCAACTCGCGACTCACGGCTTGAAAAGCCTCACTCTAGGGGTTGGGAGTACCATACGGGGTACTATAAGGCTATTTCAGGGCATTTCAGGGCTACTATGAGAGGTGCAGTAGTATCAGGGTCTCGAGGAGTCTAGGGCTTAGGAGGCTTCTGAGGGAGACTTCGAGCCTCGTCCACGGCAAGCCGAGCTAGCTGTGCGCGGGTCTCTCCACGAATCCGACGAGCGATCCAAGGAGAGTGCGGCGAGCGTCCTCGCAGAAGCCGCGCTCTGCTCCCAGTTTTCTGTAGGGTTTCGCAAACTTTCCCGCATGCCTCGCCTTTCTCGGCTTTCGGTGGGCTGCTTACGAGTGGCGCAGGCGACGCGGCTGGCAGACCTGAAGGGCTGATGCAGTGCCTTTTTCAACTTACATCGTCCAAGTCTCGGGACGCCACCACCTTTCTGCATGGCCTCCAGCCTGTTCTTTTCTCGCAATCTCGCGATTTTTGCCCCCAGACGTCGCTCTGCGACCTGTGGAGTCCGCCGAGCTCCGCACGCATCCAGCAGGCCCGCAGGACAGCTGGCTGTCAAGGTTTCGAAGGTTGCCGCTTGGAGCGTCGGCGGCGGAACTTTGACCACCTCGGAGACCAAGGTGCAAAGGCCCAAGGACCCTTTCGCACTCACGACTCAGGTGCCGAACCCGCGGCCCACGGACTATCGAAACCTCCAATCAGGTACAATCCGCGGAAACTCTGGTGCAAACCTCGATAGTGTGGCCCAAAGCAAGCCTTGCTCAGCTTTTCGACGGGTGGCAGACTGAGTTCCTCCTGCCAGCCTAGGACGGCCATGAGCTCAGGCACCGCACACATCCCGAGCATGCCACAGCCAACGGCGGCTAGGCAGCTGTGGAAGTTGAAGCCGTCGGTGCCTGGAAACAGCCAAGGGTGACGAAAAACACAGCCTTGGTTCATGCCACTGCCCTAGAAAAATGTCTTTTGTTGAGCCAGCAGGCGCTCCATTGAAGCGTCGTCGGACCAAATTGCATGCTTGTTTCCGGAGATCGATATTCGGGGATCACTCGGTTTGCATTCCAGGCCTCGACCGGGCAAAGTGTCGTCATGAGCTGTCCCTTGCACTGTGAGACATCCCTGAGCTGACGACGGCCGCCACTCTCTTGATCTGTGCATGGGGCACCCCTGACGTCCACCCTGCCCTCAGCTCATCATTCATGTGATTCATTCACGCAAAGGTTGCCGTTTTCCACAAGCCTCCAAGTCACGCCAGCCAAGAAAGCGGGCATGCGAGGCCACCTCCTTCAATTTTGATGCGCGAAGCAGGGAAAAAGAGGGAGGAAGAGAGAGAGAGAGAGAGAGAGAGAGAGAGAGAGAGGGAGGGAGGGAGGGAGGGAGGGAGGGAGCGAGCGAGCGAGCGAGCGATCGAGCGATCGAGCGATAGAGCGATAGAGCGATACAGCGATAGAGCGATAGAGCGATAGAGCGAGAGCGTGCAATCAAGACTGCCTGCCTCTCCACGCATCGTACCCCATGCGATGCGAAGCCTCAGCTACTGCATACTACTCATGCCTTGCACACCTCCTCTGCGTAAGCACCCAGCCTAAGCGGGCACTCGTAAACTCTGAGGCGGGCTATGACCGGGGTTGAGCCGTAACCTTTACGCAAGATCCTGACAGTCCATCTTGAACACATTCAACTCAACAGTACCAACCTAGCATGCCGCTGCTACTTTCTGGCCGACGCAGATGCACTCTGCGGTTGAAATTGAGTGAGACTTGTTGCACATCGAGGGCTGCTGCAAGAGGGATCAACTAAGATCTGCGAAATAGAACCACAGCACTCTCGTGTTCCACACGGGTGTGACACGAAGCTCACCAATCGCCGGCGTATCCTTGCAGTTCGCGTGGAATCGAAACATGAAAACACATGAACCCTTGTGGTGCTGGCACCAACTGGTACAACCGGCGGCTTTGGGTATTCCATGCCACACCGTACGTACCAAGCCGGCCTTCTGCGCCTGTGTATCGCGCAGCACCTGTGGTGAGATAGTCCTGCAGTTCGAAACAATCCATTCGTTGGGCACTACCTGTTGCATCAGCACATGACCTCGCCTTCGTGGCGGACGTGGTCTTCTGTCTTGTCGTTTCCAATTTGGGGCAGTCCGAGATGCGGTGCCCAAGTCCGCCGCAATATGCGCAGCCCTTGACAGAGCATGAATCAGGACGAGCGTATGTATTCACAACTGCGCAGCTGATCAAGTACATCAGTCGCCTTGACACCACCAATTTCCTCCTCTTCTCTGCCTCCTCCACCCGTCTCGAGCGTCATGAGGAAAGGAGGGACCTTGTCTGGCGTCTGTAATGCAAGTGAAAGAAGGCAGTGTCGTTGAACCCTGAGTGTACGTGCTGCGGATGTCCGTTCAAATTCTTTCCGCCGGGAGACGTGCTGTCCAGCCTCCAGCAGCAAAGCCTTCAAGTCGAGCAAGATTGTCTCCTTGGCTTGACCATTGGCGCGGCAGAAGATGCCCACTTGCACAAAACGTGCAGACACTGGTTGCACGGAATGGACGGGCTCAACAGCGTCATGATGAGTGTTGCGTGCCAAGAATGAGCCCGACGAGCTGATGCATATTATCGTATACCTAATACGACACGATAATATAGTGCATCATGGTATATTATATTCTGATATAGGTATATGATATCTGTATATATATATATATACATACATACATGCATACATACATGCATACATACATGCATATATATATATATATATATATATATATACATGCATGTATGTATATATATATATACGTATATAAAGTATATTACAAAGAGTACCCGACTTCAGCTGGACGGTTTGTCGTGGTAGAACTCAAGTGCGGCCCGGGCACGTCCTGGTTTTTGTTGACGAAAGTGGTAGCCACACCAGTTCGTCCACACCGACCTGGTGAACACTTGATCTCGAATGTTGGGGACAACTTGACAACCACCCGACCAGTGACTTGGGTTGATCCGGATAGTTGCCGTGTTGATTCGTACAAGCGGTGAAGAACCGTGGCAATGTTTTCAACTACACTCGATGAACTAAGAAAACATGCGACTGCAGGACCTGTGCCGGGGCACGTGGGCAGAGACTCCCTTGACGTCTCTCTGGCTTGAGTACCGCATGGTCAGTTGTGCTGCGCTCGTGCTCGCACCACTACTCGAAAAAGACTAAAGAAGTGCATATTGACCCACAGCATTCAGGGACTGCAGAGACACGATTGAAGAACTCGTGAGAATGAAGACTTGAAATCCAAGAAGCTGCGCATACGCGACTGTGACCGCCCCACGGCAGTGTGAGTCATGACCCATGAAAAGTCGCACTGTCTCGCAGCTGGCTTAGCATTCACTAAGCCCTGCGAGGTAGCAGCGGCCGCTACTCTAGACTGCATCGGCTAGCCTCTGCTTGTCTGCGCGCATGGAACTCTTGAATCCTAGACTCGCTGAGATTGGAAGACGTATCCAGCATGTCCAACATCATAAGACAATCATCGCTTCGGGTGTCACCCCGACTGGGACCGCTTGCTGCATGCTGTGTGTTCATACCAAGGCATTACATGCTTGCCGGATGGCCTGTCCGACCGATTCGGTGCACATAATTCTCGATTTCCTTCGGCATGTCAAAGTTAATGACCTTGGACCCCGTGGCATCCAAACACAAACAATCAGATTCCATTCCATCTCCATTGAACTCGGAGAAAGCTGAGCTCCAGTCGTGCTGAATAGCTGGGAAATCCAAACCCTTCGACGCCACGTCTGTGCCGATCAAGACGTCCTCGGAAGGACAGGACAACTCCCTCAAGGGAGGGGGCCCTGTACCGCAACTTAATATGTTACATTATACTACATGGTGCCAAAATACTTTTTTGGAATATTTTTTATTGAGCTAAGTTATCTTGTACTGTTGTATCAGATATGCCAAACCCTAAACCCTAAACCCTAAACCGTGTCCTTGGAGCCCTCCTTGAAGGAGCGGATGGCCTCGTGGCGCTCCTCCTGGTCCAGCCCACCGTGGATTGCCACGACCTGCCGAACACTTTGCCCGTGGGCATGGCCTGTGCTACAGGGGTTTATATCATATTTTTTACATTATTCTATTACAAGTAGATTATACTGTTATACTGTTAGATTATGTTTAGCTTAATTCGGTGATAATCTAGTATATTCTAGTGCAGGTGCTGTGAAGTGCCGTCTGAAGCCTGCGTGACCCTCCCAGGCCCCGAGGGCCTGGAAGCCTGGGGGCACTCCGATAGATTCGGAAGTGGCAGAGGAATAGGGTTTTGGGACCCATTATACTATATTTATAATAGGGAACCCCAGATTCGTTCCGCAGGCTGCGATTTGGGGTTTCCGCTCTCACAACTCGGACCAGCCGGGCGAGGTTCCATAGGGTTTTTTTTGACACTCACACTCGGACAAAGCCTGGCAAGGTCTGCAGAAGTAGGTTCGACGATCTCGTTAACAACCCAGCAAGCTCATGTAACTCGCCAGGCAGCTGTCAGACGAAACCAGAAACAAGCCAACACCAAGTGCACAACCGTAACACAGGTTCCAACTGACAGCAGTCCATAGGGTTTAGGGTTTGCTGCATGGCAATCACAGGCCACCTGTTTCTCTGAAAGAGTAACCGGGTACCAGTGGATTTATGCTGAGACAGGTAGCAAGACTGCAAGAAGGGTGTTAGAACGCGGGCATTGATGGTGCATCAGAAGCTGCAGCTGGTGGCCGCTGCGTTCCGTGCTAAGCCGCTATGCAGCAACCAGTAACTGTTGTGGCAATGGGTGTTTCATTCGGCTCCGGACTCCCATGTTTTGACAGGCTAACACTTGCGGGGCAGGGGCACCTCGACGCTCTTTAACAGCAGGTACTCGTGCACATCATCCACGTCTGACTTGTTCTCACAGAATATCAGCACCTCAGGCAGTCAGCAGGGGTGTTCTTGTGAGCCAAGGCGAACTCCTTGCTGCCAAAGCTGCTGGGGGAGGTGTCTTCTGCAAACACTTGAGGAGGTACACCAGCTTTGCCTCCTGCTTGACGTACCTCGAACCATGAGCTGGCATGCGCACCGATGCGCACTGCAGACTGTTGGTTCGTAAAACTGACAGCACTTCCTCGAGTTTAAGCAAGCGGCTCAACCTCTTGAATGACATCCAAGTTGGCAGCGCCAGCACGACCTACGTTAATCACGACCTCAGCACACCCCGCGCGCTTGGCAATCACGACATGTCAGGAACTTGAAGGCGAGTGGCCGCGTCCACCAGCGCTGTCTTGGCGAAGTCCTCTGGGAGACTCGGGCTCGAGCTGCGCACGCATGTGCGTTCCCCAGCTCCCAAAGGCGGGCCTGGATCTTCTTGGGCATCGTCGCACTGAAAAGAAGGGTCTGCCTTTGACCTCATGTGGGAAGCCACGCAAAGCCAGAGCTGAATGGCTTCCTTGGCCAGGCGCCTCGGTAATGGTCCAAGGTGTTCCGGATCTCTTCTTCGAAGCCTAAGTCGATCATGCGGTCCGCCTCGTCGAGCACCAGAACTTGGCACCTCACAGCTGCTAAAGACTGCGCCAAAGGCTGTGCTGCTGCCCTCTGTCAGGGCCCCCCGGCTGTGCCAGTGACATGCGCTTCTTGCTCAGCAGGTCATTTAATCGACCAGGTGTCGCCTCAAGAAATCTGGAAGCCTGCAACTGGTGGGCGGCGGTGCAGTTCAGCCGGGGGGCAACGACCATATGGCAGCCCTTTTTGATTGCCATCGCTTGCGTTCCAGTGCTGAGTCCACCAATGGTAAGAACCTCGGATCTGCTCCTTCCTCGTGGTGATTCCTCTCGTCTCTTCGCCTCTGGGCTTCCGATCCGAGGAGCCGATCTGAGCTTCGGGAACTCTTTGTGGTACTCGGCCAGGTGGTCTGTGTAGAACTCCAAAACCTGCAGCACGCCACCAAACTTCGCGTCTGGCAAAGAAGTGGTCTTGCAACTCCCTTATTCAACAACGACCTGACTTCCTGTGAAAGCTCTCAGAGGGTCTGTTTTCACCGGCCCCTCCTCGTAGGTCTGGTGCGCTAGCTCACGTGAAGGAGCAATGATGAGGCCAAAAGGGCCTTCGGTTGGCTGCACCTCAAAAAAAAAGGCTCGACAACTCTCCTCCTTTGACGACACCTAACCACCTATAGACCTGTGCAATCAGCCGAGGCTGCGGTCCCGACCCGAGCACGAAGCTCCTGCTCCAGCGCGCACATGATCATGGGCAGGCCAAACCTTTCGCTTCCATCAAAGGCTACAGCTCCATGCTGCGGCCGCGCAGACAATCGACAGCCGCCGAGGTTGGAGCACAAGCGTCTTGCCACTGCCCGTAAAGGCAATTCCTGGAATCTCGACAGCTACACTGCCACAAGCGACACTTACGTCGGATCCGGCTTTCATCAAGGTTGTCGACACAATAAAGTTTCCACCCAAGCGTCCAATAATGTCACGGCCCATCAGCCCTGCTGGAATGCCTTGCCTTGGAGCAAACTGGAGGAAACATGAACACATGCAAAGGTGTAGCAGCTGTCAGAAGCCAATGCAGACATTCATGACAGTAGCACATGCCTCACTGCCTGCTACTTTGGTCAGTCCACGGCCTTTGAATCCCAAGTGGCAGCCAAGGGGCATCTGGATCTGGGTTGGCCTAATGATGCCTTTGGCCTTCAAGCCTGCTCGAACGCATCAGCAGCTTCAAAGAAAGTGTTGCTGTTGCTCTCTCGATATTATTCTTTGTCCACTGGCCTTCGAGAATGCCGCGTGGGAGCCGCATTTCCTAACATCGATCATGAGAAACGTCAAAGCTGGCATCATTGCTAAAGGTCAGCTGCCCATGCCTCGAAGCGCTTGATCGGTGCTGGGATCTCTTGTCCGTTCACCTGCTGAATATGCCGTCGCCCCCTCTGTGCAGGCAAAACCAAGAAAAGTGCTGAGTGGTGAGAGGGAGCACCTCGATGAAGTACTTCTCGCGGACCGAAGCTCTCTCGGCTTCCGGCATATCACCTGAACTTCACTTAACTTCAACCAGTGTGGAACTGCATAAATTCTATGCCTTCTGGAGACCTGTTTTTTGTCAAAAGCTTTGTTTAGTAAACCTTCAGCATCGCCATCCAAAGACTTGGGGCTCGACGGTACTTTTGTATTGGCCGCCAGTCGCCAATTGCCGGCATCCTCAGGGCGCAGCCATATCATCGCTTCAATGGGTTCGACTCGACCCTGTTGCAACAACTGCCGTCCTCTGTGTATACATGATGCCCTTTGCTCGCTCCCGGACCTTCGGCAACCCACATGATCTGCAAAGGGAGATGGTCGGCAGCTTACGTTGCTCAGCCAAGCACGGACATCAAGGGTGTGCTCATTTGCAGTTGAACCTGCTCGAGGAGCTGGTCCTTTCGGGCCAACATGAGTCGGATGCCACAACGTCTTCGGGGCGCGCAGAACACGCCACAGCATGCAGGCTTTGTTGTGCAAACTGGCGTCCTCCTCATTCCTGATGCTTTCCTTGATCGCAGCTTCGCGCCCTTCCTCAGAACGGAGTTAACCGCAGAAGCGCAGTTACGGGCCTCTGGGCTCCACTCTCGGACGCTCCGGTGTCCGGGCCTTGTTGGCCTCCTCTTCTGCTTTGAGCTTTGCCGACACGGCCAACAAGGAGTTTGCCTCGGGTCGCTTGCCATCGCGTCCGTGCACTCGAACCTGCGACCTCTGAGGCAGCTACGATGCCACGCTTTTTCTTTTCCTGAAGAGATGCCAAACGAAGCTAATCAGCCCTGCAAGTGATGATGCGGACTTGCCGGCCTCCTGGAATCCCCGTGAAATCCACATGCTCGCTATCATCAAGACTTGGGACGTGTCAAGTCTCAAGGTCTTGTAGGATCAGAACCTAAATAGTAGGATCCTTATTTTAAGGACCCCAATATAAGGTACCCCTCAATTTCCGAGACCCCAAAATAGATGTTGCTCGACAGCCTCCGCGAGTCTCTCGCGCATGACCCGTTCGGCTTCTTCTCGACGTTCCTTCTGCCTGCGGCGCGGAGGGCGGAGGGCCATCTCTTAATAAGGACCCAGTAAAGCCTATTTAAGGAAGTACAGTCCCCTACCCCCCTTAGGGTCCCTATGATCTCTACGAATGCAGGGGAATAGCACTCGAAGCTGCGTTGAAGGATGCAAGGGTTGTGCCGCGAATTGATTACGAAGCGCTGGGGCCGGCCCTGGCCCCTACAACCAGGCCAAGACAAAGACCACGGTCGAACTTGGAAAGCAAAACTTCACCATCGGCCTGTCTGAAACGAGCTTCTCTCTCATCGCTGCCTTGCCATGCTGAGGTTCTCTAGTCACCGGTAGTCTCGCAGGCAGCCAGCATTGAACGGCCTTGCGCTTCTTGATTGGGACATAGTCTTCGTAGCCCTCATCCTCCTTACACACATGGCTTTCTCGGTATATCGGCATCAGCTCACTGGATGAAGCTGCTGAGAAGTATCGTCCGGATCGAGCTGCGGCTCAACCTCCTCCTCATCATCATACTTCCGCTTGAGCCTCATGATGGACGCACCAGCGCGGTCAGTGATCCGGTGCACTGCGCATGCTCAGACCGGTGCTGCTGAAGCTCTGCACTTACCATGCCACCACCTCATTCGAAATAGCTCTTAGGCAGGGCGTTCACAAGCAGCGATTCTGGGGTTGGGACGTTAAGCCAGCTATGTGGCCATCGAGCTACATCGTGCAACAAGAACTGAAGCCCAAATTGCTGACCGATGCTGACCGAGTAAAAATAGCACAGGTATCAACATCTCATTTGCGCATTCGCAACGAATGGATTCGGCAGTAGGTCTGTGTTTTCAGTGTGGCGCAAACAGTGTGGCTGACAGAGGCTCGCTGCTTAGGCGCTCCAGCAGCTGCTGGCCATCGTGCCAAGAGATCTTGGGACTTGGGAAGATCCACGGTGAAAAGCAGAAACCAAGAGAAAAAGACCCACAAGTGCGGCCAAGCGGCCATGGCAGCAGGGATGCGAACCTCGCGATGGCACCCGGTACCAGTCAGAACACAACAACGGCACGGCATCACCTCTCGGCCTCACTACCACCGCCGCGCTCTTGATTTGGACACGTCATGACCTTGGTCGCTGAAAGATGCGGCAAGCGCAACCAACCACAGCCAATGCCAAAAATCGTCTCTGAGCTTGTCAATGTGGGTCGGCGGCTTGCAGGCGACTGTCATGATTCTCGGAGTTGATGACGACAACTCCTGCAAGTCCATCGGCCGTTGCATACAATTCTTCCCGGAACAGGGGACCGGATTGGCAACAGGCAGCAAGCCACAAGCATTTGCAATCTCTGCAAAAGAGTGCCCTTTGGTTTGAGCAGGGACTGCAATTCACTGAGCCCTGAATCCCTGCAGTCAAGCTCCAAATGCCAGTGCTTATGGCTGAGCACTCGAAGCATGATGCACTATCTACAACCACTGATCTGGGACCACTTCAAAGACACGACCTGTACTCGATCACGTTCAGCATGACAGGGCCAAAACAGGTGACAGGGGCCCTAAACGCTGTGTTAAAGTCCGATCGCTGCTAGAAGGCGCTACATGCCCACCCCGAGAGAGGGGAGGGGTTGTGGCGCCTATTTCCGAGCTTCTGGATTTATGGGGGGGGGGGGGATGACCACCCTCACAGCTCAGTTCCCGCCAACAGGCACCTGAAGATGTGCCGACTATGGTGCATGCTCTGTTTCAAAACTAATAATAAGCTGTTGTATGTGTGTGTGTGTGTATACATATATATATATATATAAACCCCTCTTGACGGTTTGTGTAACAACTTTTTGGAGCCGAGAGCGGTTCCGTTTTAGAGCCGGAGTTCCCAACCTTTCCCAACCCCGTTCACGATGCCGAAGGGTCGAAGGGTTGAAGGGTTTGCTGGGAAGACCGAGCATGATGAGCATCAGCCGGGATTGTCGCCAACTACGAGCGGGTGTCGGCGTCGGTGCCTTGACAGACCCAGAGCAGGTTTCCTCGGGTTGGATTTGGTGGTTTTGCTGGGTTTCGCGGAGAAAATGGCTCCGAAGCAGAGCAATGGCCCTGTCCTGCCTGGTGGCATGGGGGTTTGTTCTGGGGAGTAATCGACCAAATCTCTTGGAGCAAGGCTCTTGGAAGCTTTGGTCCCCGCACCTACATCAGCTCTTTTCCTGCCGTTCGTATGCAACCCACACACACACACCGAGGTTTGTGGCTGGGGCCAATTCCGGAAACAGGCGGCTTGGGATGGGGTCTTTGTGGCGCCGTAGTCTGGCAAGGCACTTGGAAGGTCAGGGCTCCCGGCTCTCAATCGTACTCTCTCTCTCTGCCTGTCTTTCTCTCCGCCTCTCTCTTTCTTTCTTTCTGCAGGGCGTAGGGGTCGTCCAGCGACCCTCAGGCCTTCGGCCCGCCCGGCTTACCCACTGTTTTAGTGAGTGGCCGGCCTTGGGGTTACTCCTGAGTGTGGTTACTACCTACCTGGTGTGCCCTTGGTTGTCATGCAGCAAGCCCCACCCTGTACGCTAGAACCCCCCGCATCCCGGCCTCTTCCCCGCGCCCCTGTGGCTACCCACCAGTACCATCCGTTCCGTGGGGCTTGCTTGGTGCATGCTTTACCGTGTGGCACGTGTGGCGGTTCAGGGCAACACTGCTGACCACGAAACTAATGCAGCTACATCACAATACGGTGTTCCCCTGTGGCCGAAGGTCTCGCCTCTCTCTCTCTCTCTTGCTTGCTTGCTGCTTGCTCAGCGTGTGGAGCGAGGAGAGCAGATCCCCTCACCCCTGCGCACGGCGCGACGCTGGGTGTCCACGTTCGGTCTTGGTGAGACATTCGATACAAGTTGCTTGTCACAGGTGGGTCAGCCGGCCACACCTCAGGGCACCCTTAAGCGGTAGAGGCAAAGCTTGAGCCATCATCGAATGCAGGAAGGTTTCCAGAATTTGCTGTAGGCTCTTGCCCTTGGGCTGCAAGAGCTCCTGCACAAGGGCCTGTCGCTGAGCCCTAAGTCGTTTGGTGCGCCTGGCACATCCCGGGCCTGGGTGTGAAGCCTGCAGGCATCAGTCGGGCACAGTGAGCGAACCCAGCCGGTGCCAAGGTGGAAGGACTCGCTCGGTGAGACGTCTCACCGCCCGCAGCTGCCCTCGTGGGTTCAGCTGCCTCAGTGTCTCTCTGTGTCTCTCTGTGTCTCTCTATGTCTGTCCGTGTGTCTCCGTGTGCCTCCATGTCTCTCTGTGTCTCTCTTTGGCTCTGTGGGCTTGCTTGCTTGCTGACGGGTATGGGGACCGGGGTCCCCTGGCCCGAAGGCCTACCCGCTCAACGGCTCGCGTCTGTCAAGGGGTGGGAGTGTTCCGTTCCTCCGTCTGTGCCTGTAAACCCCAATCCCCCCAACAACCAAACCTCCTAGACCATCCCCCTGCAGGCGGCAGACGGGTCATCCGGGGCTCCCCAGTTCAACTACTTGCAGGCAAGTGGCAGCTTGGTCACGATACAATTAAACCTAGCCTCCAGTAACACTTCATCCTAGCGGGTTAACCCCGACTCTACGCCAACCCCTTTGTTGCTGCCACTCGCCACGTCAGCGGGCTCCACCCCCCGACTTTAGCTGCCTTTCGCTCAGCACTTCACTACACCACCCCCGACCTGTCCTGCCTCCCCACCTTATGCCGAACTGAACCTTGCGCAACTGCACTGCCTGTTCACCTTCCCACCCCCTAAACCTGCTAGTCTTCTGCCGGCCGTGCCCTTGCTCTTCGGCCCTCTGTGAGCGAAACGACAAAGGCAGCCCGCTGCGAACCACTAAGGAGCATAGTCACACTTTAAGGCAACTGCTGCAAGGGCGATTTGCGTTGGGCCGCGGCAAAACACTGGGCCCCTGGCCCCCCGACCAGTTTCTCACAAGAACCCCGGCGACTCAACCTAACCTAACGCGTAACCTCGCTCACCGGCTAGTCGTCCTGGTCCAGGGAGCTGGGGTTGGTGAAACTCCGTGTCTCTTGCTTGCTTGCTTGCTCAGCGTGTCTCTGTCTCTCTGTGTCTCGGTGTCTGTGTGTCCGTCCCTTTCTCTTTCACTGTCTCTTTCTCTTTCGCTCGCTTTCCCTCTCTGATGGAATCCCCGTGGAGCGACAGAGCGATAGCAAGAGCACGGGCTGGGTTGGGGACGGCCATAGTGGGCTTGAGGCGAACTGATGCTGGAATCAACCCTGCATGCCAGGATTCTTGATCTTCCAGCGCTTCCATGCACCCTCCAAATCACATGCATTCCTGGCTCTTTCTTGGAGGATCCCCACCCTTACAGAAATAGGTGCCCTGGCCATTTTCAATAGAGCCCGATGCACCTAACCCCCTCACCCCTTATCCGACTATTCCTACGGGGTCCCCATACGCTAACTCGCGATTTGCAATGGGCAGTTGGGTTCAGAAAGCGCGCCCCAGGTGAGTAAAGCCAGTATCATGGAGAACCCACATCATGATTGAAGGCGAAGCGATTCCGCCGTTCAGAGGAAATAAAGCTTCAATCTCCGCACATCAAAAGAGCACATTAGGTAGCTGTTCTGCGTCCTGCAGCTCCTGCCAGCTGTGCCCGAAGCAACTTCCTGTCACTGGATCAAAGCTGGAGCATCTACATGCATCTAGGCAAGAATCCATGACTGCAAAGCCACATGCAAGCCGAGTGACTGGACAAACAAGCATCCCCCTCGAGAGATCATCAGAAGCCGCCCTGCATACGCTGCCTCACTGCAGGGTAACGGCTTGTTAGCTGATCCAAACGGAAGTCAGCCGCAGCTGCTCGACTCAAGCCCGAGTTTCGACAGCACATGGAAATGCAAACGTGTCACCGGAGCGAATTTTGCATGTCACTGGTGCCCGAAAGCAAAAGGATCCCCGACTTGCGACTTATACCTAATTTGCGCTTATACCTAATTTGCGCAAGACCCGAGCAGGAAACCCCACTTGCACCCTAAGATTCTAAGATCAAACACACGTCACACGGATGCACAACAATCTTGTGTCAGCGGGAAGGGCTTTGGCTTCGCATCACGAAGTCCAGCACCAAACACCGGACACACCCACACCCACCCACACCCACACCCACACCCACACCCACACACAAGAGCAACAAAAAGAGAATACACATGCAGACAAACGAAAAGCGTGAGCGGCGAGCGACCAAAGCACATTGACTACAGCAAGCCATCAAGTCAGCAAGCAAACCGAAACAAAACCAGAACAAACAAAAAGCGAAGCAGCTATCAGCAGTGAACATGACTGAAACGGCGGAGCTTGACATTTAAGATCTGAGCCTCAAAGGTCCTTTCAGCTCCACCAGGTACGCGGAGGTCAGCACACGCATTTAGCGGGCTGGCCTTTGCAAACGCAACATGGGCCAAGCAGCATGCATCAGCATGCTGAAATTGCTGAATGTGCAGGAATCGCCCCCTGCTTTTGGATGCCTAAACTGCGGCTAGTAAAAGCAGAGCTCCGTAGCTCCGTCAGCTCGCAAACATTTGCAGACCCTGAACGCTCCGCTCAAGGAGTCTGCCCGAGTCGCCAGCATCGGCGCAAAAGAGCATGACGCAACTCTTTGTTGCATCCAAAATGTGCCACAGCTCTAACATCTTGCAGCTCCTTGCAAATGATCTCGAAGATGAAGCCACATGCTCTCATGTAAGAGGCTAGCTGCGACGTTGGCCATGACATATGCTGTCTGAAGTGTCTATACAAGCCGTCCATCCTCAGAGATGGGAGCAGGCCCTTGATCGGCCGTAGCCGGCTCAACTACCACTATGACCATACAGGCCAGATGCTGTTGAACGCATGCAGCACACTGTGAATGTGTATTCCTGGAACACTCTTGCAGGGACTTCCTCCTGTCACAAGAAGAGTTCGGAGGACAAGGACCGCCTCAGTTCTCAGTTTGACCACATTCCATCGTGAAAAGGCATGACGGCCAGGCAGCAGCATTTGTCAGAAGCATGCCGGCTACTTTTTACTGACCATCCGAGGCACGAAGGTCCTCTATGTCTGCCACCGCTTGAGCGGGTGAATTTAGAGACTTTGCCAAGCCCTCGGCACAACAGGACGTCAGCCACAGACAGAGCAACACTTCCATATCTGCGTAGCCTTGAGGGGAACTATGAATAACTGTATCCGACTGCCTCTCCCGTTTCATGTAACCGGCCATGTCGACCTATCGCGACCCTGCTTACGTGGATACCTTTCTCAATCACTGAAGTGTGTGAGCATGCATGTTCATGATCCCACGGCTGAACACGTGATCCTGCGGCTGAACACGTGACTGACACAATTGACCGCCGAGACTCGGTAGTAGCTTGGTGATATGAGTCTGTACAGGCCTCGATGCAGGCTGTTCGAGCTTGCCCGCAGATCACTAAGCAAAAGCAAGAGTGTGCTGCACATCGTTACATGTACGCTGCGCGGACCGACACCATTCAGCCTTCAAGAATTCAATCTCAGCGCCTGGCTTAGTTGCCGAATGGCTTCCGCGTAAAGACGGGAAATACCTCGGATGAAGGTGAAAAGAAAGGCGGACTGTTCAAGCCAGGATCAAAACGCTGCCCTTCAAAGATCTAATACACAGCAAATGCATCCAAGTTGCTCTACAAAACATGCACTGCAACGTGTGGTTCAGCAAGCGGAGGGCTTCTGTGGCTGCCAGGCTGGACATATGTCAATATTGTTGACACAGCGGGCCAGGTTGCTATGGCATCTATGCCAGCAGCTCTGGCGCGGTGTGACAGCGTGCCTTGTAGGTCCTTTGACCCGTCTTTCTGACATGCCCGAAAAAAAAACAATGATTAGTTGATTAGTTCACAGCTACGACTACGACACTCCGATATAACATGGGGCTGTGCACAGAAAGAAATTAAGAGCTGAAGTCCATGGCGAAGTCTATACGCCTGCGCAAGCAGCAGGCCGTCAGGCGATGGACCCGTCTGCGCTAATTGCACCAAAATTTATTAGTTCAGTTCAGTCTGACATTCCGAAAATGTGTTGCTGAGCCCCCTTTGCCGCCTGCCGGACTGTAATCAGCTCCGCTCACTGTAGGTCACGTCACCTGTACAATATCTCTCTGCCTCAGCACGGCATAGCACGGCCAGGGTAAGCCAACACCGCAAAATGTTCACGCCATCCTGAAGTGTTTCTCCTCAACACAACCGGCCAACCCCCGCTCCGAAGTCTGCAAGGACTTAGGCCGACTTCGGCTTAGTTGGCCTACAGTAGGGCCTAGGGCCTAGCAGGGTCTAGAGGGACTTGGGGCCAGCGTCGGCGCTAAGTGGCCAGGAGCGGAGCGAGCTCAACGCTGCAGACCGTGGCCATGGCTGACAATGTCCACACCCACAGTCAGGGAGCCGTCCAAGCCTCAGATTTCACGAAGCCAACCCAACCTGCAAATCGAACTTCATGCCCACGACAGTTCAACCTGGGGGCCGTTAGTCTCGAGTCGCCAGTCTTTGCGAAGCTCGCAGACAAAGCAAGTGCTTTGTCCCGGGTTGGCCGTGATTGGTCCCAACTGTTCCTTGGATCGGGTTACACCGTGCCATGTGATGTGACATTCATGGCCTTTGGCCTTTGGCATCAGCAAGCTGAGCGAGAACGTCACCCTCTGCAGTTCAAGACTGTGTCCGTTGGAAAATCGGCCACACTCCAGAGTAAGCGCGGATCTCCAGCAAGATTGAAGAGCAAGGTCATGGGCTCACTGCAAGCAAAATCTCCTGTCGAGGTGGTGTGTTGATGCACGGGAGGCAGTTCACTTCCGCTGTCCTGCAAATTTCAACTGAAGCGCACCATACTGTGGCGCCCGATCCACCGCCTTCTTGCCCTTCAGACGGAGAGCTGCCCAGCTGCTGCTACATGTCAGCACTGGTCAACTACTGACTGTATGGCCCAAGACTTGGCCCTTGGCCTTCTTCAGGGTCTTCTTCGCCTCGAGCAAAAAATACTTAAATACGGCGGAGCGGCAGAAAGCGGCTAGCGAGGCGCATTCCGATCCCTGAGCTTCCTAGGAAGAGCTGCAGCTGAGCCGAGCGTCTGCCTTCTTCCAATCAACCAGCCAACGCCTCAGACGAACCGGCACTGAATGGGTAGATCTTTCTGTCCGAGAAGAGCGGCAGAGCAGCCGAGCCACTCTCCTGGACTGAAGAGCAGGCGAAGGCCCTCCAAGCCACCAACGGCAAAAGGAGGGGACACCAATGCCGAGCCGCAGCTCACTCGCAGCTTTGCCTCCAGAAGCCCAGGGCCGCAAGAGCAAGTCGAGTAAACAAGCGGCAGCCAAAGCTACAGAGGGCGCCGTGTGGGCCTGTGGGTTAGCGATGTTCCACGTCACCTGTGTCACGCTGCTCCCCAGCGTGGTGGTGGTGGCAACAAGCAACCCCTTCTGGTGATCTGCTTCCTGGCGCGGAGGAGGCAAGAGGCAAACGGCTTTCTGCATCGACGCCTCGCTCTGTGCCTTGTCGCTGTCCAGATCACATGACGGTGTCGGAGGGGAGGAGAAAGCAACGTTCTCCAAGCCCGGAGGAGCAGAGACTTCGAGCAGCTCTAAACCCGGAGGGGCGGACACCTGACCAGCAAAGGGTCATGAGCTGTGATGTAAAGACTCTGACTCTTGGTGGCCCTTGCATTTCCTAAGCTGCCTCAGCCTGCAAAGGCTTGCTAACAAAAAGATGCAACACAGTCGCAAGCCTTGCAGGAGAGCATTGATCCGCATGACCAAGCTGGAGACGTCTTGCACGAGATCGTCGGCGAGCCTCACCCACAGAAATGACGTTCATGCGCTGAGCATTGGCCGCGGTCATGCCAGGTAAACCCAAACAAGCTTCATACCGTCACTCCAAGCCCTGCATACCCAGAACCACTCCAACGGCACCCCTGATGCTCCCAAGACAGGCTCAAGAGAGAGAGAGAGAGAGAGAGAGAGACTGAGAGAGACTGAGAGAGACTGAGAGAGAGAGCGAGAGCGAGCGAGACAGAGAGAGAGGGAGGGGGGGGAAGGGACATCCTGTCCTCCTCACGCGGCCACCTGCCCCTGCATCACACCGCCCCCTTCAGCCCCTATGACCAAGCAAGAAGCCACCAGCTGAAGATCTTGGGGATAAAGTCTCAGGCGTAGCCAGTTTCATGGGTTCCATCTTCCTCGCTGGGACTGAATCATGTCATTGCTCTGCTTGGGCGACAGTGGAATTCCGTTTACTGGCAGATCTCAAAACGATCCTGGCCTGTTCAGCAGCGAGGGCACCTCTGGATCCGAGTCGCAGGTGGCGCTTCTGTTCGAAGTCTCCCTGGCGCGAGGTAAACTGCCAACCCATCTACTGTGGCAATCTTCCAGCGGCACGCTTCAAATCCATCACCCTCAGATCCGATTGTCTCTCCATCTCTGTTGACATGCTTACAGCTTTTACATGCTTTTACACAACTTACAATATAGTTGCATGCACGCCGGCATGCACGGGTGAAGTGCGGAACGGCGAAAAGGTCATCCAGTGGCTTACTCAAAATGCATCTTGTAGCAGGAGAACCCCAACAACCTATGCATCGAGATAGGTTAGACATGAATAGCCGGTTGACTGCCATGCATGTTTTCCAATTGCACACGCTTGGTGCGCACGAGTGGAACCTTTCGAAACACGTGGCTGCTACGAGAAAATGCTTCAACCAGACCTGGTGGCCAGCACATCAGCGGTGTCTCCCGTTCTGGCAAGCTCCTGTGTCACTGGTGGCTGTGCTGTGGCGGGCTGCGCTGTGGCCCTGCGAACAGCCGTCAGATGTCGTCCTGCTTCATGTCGCTGATCATGGCAGCTTGAAGGGCAGCCAGCTGCTGCAGGCGAAGGTTCTCCATCTGCCAGGTGAAAGGACAACTGAGCTTATCCATTGCATGGAGGAGACAGTGGCCTTGCGGTTGGACATGGTGCAGTACATGCAGCACAGACTCATGTTCACAAGAATCGTTCTCACTGCGGCCTGCATCATTGCAGCCCACTGCGCAGATTGCATGCCTTGCCACTGCATGGCGGATCGCAAGAGCCGGATATTGGGGCAACACCTTCCGAGTGCTTGAGCCTGAATCTTGTCTTTACAAACTGGCTTTTTGGAGTCGGCAGCACACGACCGGATTGAAGTTGAAGAGCCAAAGCGAGGCAATGGAAAGCGGTACTCCGACATACTCTGAGATGCAGGCCGCGACGATCTCCCGCGTTGCGAACAAACGTCGCAGCGGCTCAAATCGGAATGGTGAGCTGCTGAAATATGGCCTCGCTCGCCACCGTCGTGCACTGTCACCGCAGCGCGACAAGGGACAAAACATCCGACCGTCGACCCCTTGGGCATCCCGGCATTCTCCCTGGACTCTGCTCCAAGTCCAATCTAAGCAATGCCAAGGTGTGCTGCAGCGGCGGCTGATGGCCGTCACCTCAAGAGTGCCAAGCACGACTACCGGCAGTCCTCTAGCAGTCCAGCATACAAACACCTCTCACCTGCTTGGATCGCAGTCTCTGCGCCGTCTTCCTCCATACAGAAACTAGTTGGCGACACGAGCCAGTGCGGCGAGCCCTGGGGTCCTGGAGTTGTGCGTGTAGCAACGGCAAAACCTTGCGGATATACCACAAAAGACTTGCAGCACAAGTCATGTCACGTCGTGGATTTGTCAGATGCTAAGCAGTCGACCGGCACAGGACGGCCGAGTGAGGAAGCCAAACCAGAAACATGCATCACTGGCTTGGTGAAATCACCAGCTGACCACACCAGCAGTTGGACCTGGAGCTCATGCTCGAAGTACGTAACACACAAGCCTTCAAGCTCGGGCCGAGCTGCTGCTTGCGAACGACATCGCCGTGAAGCTTCGGAATTCATCTGCATCTGGTAGCCTACGTCGCATGTCCAAGGGACAGCTGATCACATTGCAAGCCAAACTCAACGTTTACGCTCTCGCAACTCGGACAAGCCAGACGAGGTTCTTGGTGCGCGTCGGAACTAAGTCAGGTCACTCGAGTCCCACATGCAACAACGACACAACGCAAGTTGGAGCCACGCAGGACGAGACTCGAGTTTCTTGAGCTTGAGAAACACGAAACAGCGCGAGCAGCGACATGATGAGACTTACATCGACGATGCGCCGTGGACAAGTTGCGAACGATGCTGGTATCATGAATTCGTTGCGAGCAGGCGTTTTGAAAGTGTCTGGGAGTTGAACGCGCGTTGAACGAGCGTTGTCGCCTGCCTTCGCCCGCTTCATGCAGTTCCCAGCAGTGACTAGCCAGGCCGGCGGGCTTCGGGATCTGAAGCAGCTTCTTGGGTTCCAGAGCTTCGCCAAAACAGAAAGGCGCGTGGGAGCTCCGGGACCATCTTTGCAGGCTGAGTTCTGTTTCCGTCCAACCCTTGCGAACTAATTGAAATTGCTTTGCTATTTGCGAACGCCATACCGAGTGGATCAAGCCACCACCAAGTTTCTAAAGCCGAGCCAAACAATAGCTACTCCATAAAACGGCATAGGATGATGGTCTGAGACTTCGGTCCATGCAGACAGCCATAGGGCCATAGATGACAACAAGCTCAAAACGGGTCGGACCCACCGCACTCTGTCCCCCGCCACCAACCTGCTTTCGCAGGGGGGTTATGAGTTTCGAAGCATCTACTAAGCTCAGCGCTGCCCTTTCCTTTCAAACTCCAAACAGTTACTCCAACCCGTAGCGGCTTAGCGAGTCAGCAACTGCTGCTTTGTTGCTGGGCCTGCCGGCAGCTGGACAGCATTTTGAAAGAAGAGAGATGCATGCATGCTTAAACCGTGCTTCATCGCAGAACGGCAGGGCATGACAGGGCCTGTCATGCCCATTCGACATGCAGAATGGAACCATCGACCACGGACTGTGCGATCACGAGATGTGTTCAAACCATAACCTTGTATACTTTGCAGCTGCGGTGCTGGGAGTCAGCAAATATTTTGTTCGGCAGCGCTGCTGAACTGCGACTCGTTCGAACGGCGTCAAAGCCTGCCATCCGAGGAGATGCGCTGTGCAATTGTCCAGTTTATCCACTCTCCCACGTCCGAGACAGTTCTCCGCAGCACCTCACAGGTCGGCTGTGGAGAATCCAAAGCGGATGCTGGATAAAGGTCCTGCAATCTTCACTTCTTGGAGTTTTTGTTGGAATCGAAGACGGTCAACACAAGACAGTCCTGGCTGCGTGCTGCTGTGGCTGCTGAAAGCCGGGAATCTACAGCCTTTGGAAAAATCGGGAAGAGGTGACCTCACGCGATGCATGGATGTGCAAAGCAACACACAAAAGAACATAATACCAGAGCATGCCCAACACGCCTTCCGTTGTGAAAACGCTGGCGCCGACAGGCCACGGCATTGCATTGGCCAGATCCTGCAGTTTCCGTCACAAATCCAGAAGGTGATTTGAGGTGCGGTTGTAGCCGTCGGAGTCTGCTGGTAGTGAGATTGAGATGTGCTACTACGAACAAATTCATCTGTGGTAGCCTTTCAGCCCGTTGCTTTTACTTGCTACTTCTGAAGAATAGCAGCGGGGTTGCCAGTGATTCCAGGCATCTGGTTTGGGAAAACCACCCCGCACCTACAAACCAAACGTCGTGCAAACACCGAAGTGCTGCCGATTGGCTTCTGTCGGTGCCAGGGATAAGTACAGATACACAAGAGTCTCGGACAGAAAGAAGGAATCCATTCTGTCATCGAGCCTTGCGACACATTTAGGGGCAGCAATATGTTTGCATGCCATCTGGTGCCCGACTTCACTCAGGCCTTTTGGTCGTTACATCGGCCACGGCAGCGAAGCCGCAGTCGACCCGACTCTGGTCGTTGATGGCTGTGGCGATAGTCTTTGCCTGGTCCATGAGTTCCCCCGAACGCATTTCTGTTGTGATGTGCAGAACTCGACGTGCCGAGGCTCCATGTCAAAAATCATGGAATCACCGGGCAGAGCAAGCGAAAGGTAGAAAATTGCTTCGATCAGCTCTGGTCGAAGCGGAGAGTCCCTGCCCATACGCCATACTCGAACACAAAGTGCAACGGTGCAAAAATTTTCCGATCCCCCAAAGATCCTTGCCTGGCTTGCGTCGGGCTCTCGGCTCTGGTGTCGAAAACTTCAGGCAAGGCCTCGTGCTTCTTCCACAGGCCATACCTCGTGCTGACAGGGGCAGGCCTGGGAGAGAATGACGACATGTCGTGAAGACGCCATCGGCCAGCTGCAGGCCATACACAGGCGGAGAGGAAGGCAGAACAGACAAGGAAGAGCCAGCGGGGGAGCAAGCCAAACCACGTTGGCAGCCCTTGAAATGTTCTGAGAACTCTTCGATAATGGTCTGCGTTTCTGTTTGTGCCAGACAAATTGAAGCTCACAGCTTTCAGACTGTTCAAGGTGCCTTCTCGGCAAGCTGTCCGAAAGAAGCTTGAAGGATTCGAAACAGTTCACCAGCTTTGAGGTTCATGTTGTGGGCGCTTAAGCCAATCTGAAAATCCTAGGGGCTGTTCAACGCTTCAGGCTGTATTGGAGAGAACAGGAACAATCAAACCCTTCAAATACACGCAGAAAATCTAGCAATTCTCGGAAGATCCAAATAAACAGAGACAAAAGATAAGCGAGAAATGGCGAGAATATGAAGCAACTACAGCAGGAAACGATTGCAGAGACTTGTATTACTAAATATAAGCCCAGGCTCCAGTACAACACCGATCTCAAACCACTGGCCACGTCTCCCACCAGCACTTGCAATGAAGCCCACACGCAAGCCAAAGGCGACAGATGAGTATTTGCCATAAGCCCTTTGTTCATGTCCTCGTCAGCATCTGATGCAGAAGTCCAAAACGCAACATGCTGCGCAATTGCGATCCAAGCACCACGTTGTAGGTGAACCCTTCGAAACTGTGGTACAGTTCAACCTTGTGGCAAGCGTCGCATTCACTTTCACGAGGCAACTGCTGTTCGGCCTGTGCGATCCTCAAAAACACGTTGATCGCCAGGGTGCTGAAGCATAGGCGCTCAAGAAGATCTCCAACAGCTCGAAATCATGGAAGAGGATGTAACCCTTGAGCAAATACTCGAAAAACGAATCTTGCCTTCGAGATGCACACCCTACGGTCCCAAAACAGAACTGGTGCTCAAGCTCAGCGAACGGCCCAGGACCGGTCGTGCTTTGCTGATCCACGAAATTGCCCGTGTTCACCTTACGAGCCACCCACATCCCAACGTCTGCCCAACGTCTTCGCCTCCACGAGGCCTTGTGATGCTACCTATGCCACAACAACAACAACAACAACCCTAAGCCAGAGACATCGATTGATGTGCCCACCAAGTCCAATAAGTTTCGTCGGCCTGGGAGCAGCGACCGCAACAAGCATGCACACAGTGACAGGTTAGTTGTCCATGTCATCTTCTTGCGGTCGAGACACCCCAAAAGGCCAGAAGAGATCGCTTGGCGGCTCGGTAAAAACGATCTTCTCCGGTGAGATGCGATAGCATGCCAAATTCCAGCAAGAAGGATCCCGCCTCGTCCGACGTGCATCTTTTGCGCCATCACAACAAAGCCACACCTACACTGCCTGCACGTCTAAAGGCTGTGCCTCGGCAATGGTCACTGTCGCAGAAGAACCCTCCAATCGAGGCCATTGCAAAGAAACGGGGGCATGATGTTTTAGGCATGGACTTCGGGTACACTGCTTACATGAATGGCACGTTACGGTAACATTGCGGCGCGCCTTCGGGATCCCTTTTGCCAGGTTCACACGAGACCTTGGCATCCCTGTTGGCGTATCGAAGGCCCGAAGCAAGCGCTCGCCCAGGTCCAACGCCTGCCATTTCAGAACAGCGACCTCTGAGTGTCAGCGGCACTGCATGGTGAGCCGAAGCCATTTTGAACCCGATCCAATTATTCGGAACACTGTCTTCACAGGTTTCAATTTCAGTTTGATTCATTGTACTTCTCCCCGTTCTAGCTCCCTTCATGACCGACCGTTATCGACCGTTCACATTCGCAAGTTTCACCATCAGCTACGTCCGCGCCAGGATCCACATGGGGAGAGCGACGAGGCCCGACCTTCGCAGAACCTAAACGACGAACGCTGAATCAAGCAAGCAATCCAGACAGCCGACAGCGCGAGCAACTGAGTTGGTGGGAGCGTCACTGCCCGAGGACATAAACAACAACAGAAACGCATGCGCGCGTCGCATGCGCAGGCGGCAAGCAGCGATGAAGGCTGGCTTGCTAGCATTGGTCTGGAGAAAGACTCTAGGCCGGAGGAATAACTTTGCAAATTATTCCGGTGCATTCAGAATACGAAACCAAAACTGTTCTAAAATTCTAAACAACTGACGGACGAGTTCGCAGCAGCCCATGATGCAGCAATCTCGCGCTGCCTCGCCGTTTTACTCGCGGGGGGCGACCAGCCGATCGACTTGCCTCCCTTGAGCGAGCGCCGGGCGCAACTGCCTCTTCGCATGGGGGGTCTCGGCCTATCCTCTGCGAGGGACCATCGTCATGCGGCGTACTGGGCATCCTGGGCTGACATGATCGGCGCTCTGCGGGAATGCCACCCGGGCACCCTCGCCAGCCTCGTGCGACCCTTCACGGATTTTTCCGCCCCTAACACGCCGCTCAGCGCGAGAGAGGCCGAGCACGCAGCTCAGTCCCTCCGCCTTCAGGGCCTCCAAACTCCAACGTGGGCAGCCCTCGTGGACGGGGCGGAGGCCGTCCCCTTGGAGGGGGGTGACGACCCGTCCCTGAAAGTGAGGCGGGGGTTGGAGCCGCTGTGGACAAGCGCGTGTTTGCGATGCTTTTCGCTGAGTTAGACTCTGCATCGCGAGCACTGCTGCTGTCCCAAAGCGGCGCGGGCGCCAGCTCTGCACTCACAGTCCTCCTTACCCGACCGGACTTCGTTGTACCCAGCGCGGAGTTCCGAGTCATGCTGCTGCGGAGGCTGCGCATGGCGCTCCCGCTCGCGCCCAAGCGATGCCAGTGTGGGCGCCACCTCGACTGCTTGGGAGACCACCGGTCTGCATGCGCCCAAGTCGGGGTCCTGGCACACAGAGCTGGGCCGCTGGAGCGCACGGCGGCGCGCATCTGCCGGGAAGCCGGTCCCCAAGCGTCGCCTTGCGCGACCTGAACGTGGATGTCCCTGCCACTGACGGTCGGCGGATTGAGGTCGTCGCAAACGGCCTCCCGCTGTGGCGCGGGGCCTAAATCGCGGTTGACACGACGTTGGTCAGCCCCGTCCAGCGCGACGGGCGTGCGCGACCCGGGGCCGATGCGAGGCCAGCGCTGGCACCTCAACAAGCCAAGACGCGCAAGCTCCGCACGCACCCCGAGCTCCAGCCAGGCGGGCACGGACGACTCGCTCGGGCTTGCGCCAGGGACCGAGCGCCGTGGGCGCGGGCGGCCGCGGGGGCCGCTCACGCGACGCTGGACCGCCCTCGCCGCGCTTGCGGCGGTGCGAGCGCACGCCCAAATCCTGCTGGAGCTGCCGGTCCAGCCTTGCGATGCCAGCGACGGCGTCGAGCTGCCGCTCGGCGAGCTCCTGGCGGCGCCGCTGTAGTGCCGTAGTGGCGACCCAGCTGCGGACGGAAAAAAACGTGTGAAAAAAAAGGAAAAAAAACAACTTAGAACATTTTTAAGTTCGGTCGCCCTCCCTAAATCATTCACCATCTCTGCACCCTCGTTGTCTCGACTGATCTCTCGCTCCCTGGTTCTTCCGAGCGCCGCAGTGATTAATACCGACTGAGCATTTTCCACGGGCGGATTCCAACGGCATAAAAAAACTACGCCATCGTCGCAAAGCTACAGTAGGACGGCGATTGCCCGTCGAGAATTTTTTTTTTTCCAACGGACTTTTCCGACTGCAAGAGGATCCGGTAGCTACGACAGTCCTACGGCATCACATCACATTACTGCGTGCGGGCCCGGTTTAGGGCCGCAGGCCCCGGCGCTGGGACGGCTGGCCACGCGCGACCCAAAGCCGTGCCTGCAACGGCGAGCTGGACTGCGACTGACAAGGCTCCCCACCAGCGTCGCGCCCACCCAGAGGACGCGGCGGCGCACGGAGAGCTCGGAGGCGGACGAGGTCGCGGACGAAATGCTGCGCTGTTGCATTCCAGCGGCCTCCGATTTCCGAGCCCAGCACCAGTAGCTTCTGCGGGCCGCCCCTCGCGAGTTCCGGGTAGGTGCTTTGCTTGCGCCGCTCCGCGACCTTCAGCGCCGCCCCGTCCACTTCCACTGTGCATGGATGCGGGTGCCCTGTCCTCGTGAGGGGGGACACCAGTGTCGCGTCGCAGCACAGCGCCCCGCCATTGGCTGTGGCGCCGTAGACGACAAGGTCAAGGCGCCGACGGTCTTCGGGTGGGACGCCGGGAGCAGTTGTGTGGGCGAGCCACTGCTGTGGCACGACCTGGCCTTCGGGTCCTACGGCCTCGCGCGCCACGCGGACCCAGGCGCGCTCGACCACCTTCGCACGTCTGGCCAACAAGCCCGTCCGCGAGCAAGCTAGGGCATGGTCGCCTATAAGGGGTCCATACAGCGGTGAGCCACGCTCCGGCATGCGGCCCTGCCTGGGAGCGGAGCAGTGCACACGAACTGGGCGGCAAGGAAGGCAGAAGCACGCAATCGCGAGAGTGTACGGTAAGGGTCCGCGACGCGTGGTACTGCCAGCCGTGCGGCCAGTCCCCGGCACCAGGGGCTGCAGGTGGGGCAGGACGGGCTCCTTCGAGGAGCACACGCCATGTTGGGCAATCGCTCCATCCTTGGTCCTGCAAGGTACGGCGTGCATTCGCTGCTTCTGCAAAGCAGTGCGCTCCACCTCCGGCGTCGGACTCGAGGAGGCGCGCATAAGTGGCCGCGCTTGAGGGCAGGCGCGCATTGATTGCAGGCAACGCATCCGCCCGCAGGCGCTATCGCTTCAGCGGATAGCAACCCCAGCCCGCCCAGCGCACCTGGCAGGGCGGCGACCTGCCTCGCATGAGCGGCTTCCGCGTCGCCCATTCCGCCGAGCATGGCTTGCAGCGTGGCCCATATGGCATCATCATGTCCCCGCGCGTACGTCGCAGACGCCGAAGGGGGCATGGTGCGAATGGCATGGTTCGCACGAGGGGATGCGCACATTAGCAAAAGCAACCATGCACACTGTAGGTCTGGCAGCTTGGGCAGTTGGTCGAGGAGCTCTTGCTCGGCGCGCAGCCTATCCTCGGCCCATGCTTGCACGAAGGCAGGGTGGCCCACGGGCGAGCCAAGGACGACGACACCCTGTTGGGCGTCTGGCTTGTCTCGCACCCTTCACCCTGAGGGACATCCCGGCAGCGGCCAGCGGAGTCCCACCAGCAGTAGCTGGAGGGGCTCCCGTAAAACAGGCCCACGAAGGGGAGCAACTCCGGCGCCACCTCGCGGAGTTTGCCGAGGAAGGCCGCCCGCGACATGCTGTCGTAGGCGCTGCGGCCGTCCAGCGACACCAGCACGGCGCCTCTGCGTGTCGCGAGGGCGGCACGCACGTGGGTTGCGAGGGCGTCTGTTCCAGCTCGCGCTTGCAACGCAAATTGGAATGGCCGCGTTGCCTGGTCGAACTTATCGGCCCACTCCCTGGCAAGCGCTTTCGAAACCAGACGGCGGAACATGTCGCCCGTAGCGATTCCACGCACGCCCCCGTCGGGCTTGCGCAAAGCGGTGAGGCGAGCCATGGCGAGTGCCTTGCACACGTCAGCTGGCACGCGAGCCTGCGCGAGAAGCGTGGAGGCTTCCGCCAGAAGCTCGATGGCCTCACCATCCTGCAGTAAAAGCTTCAAGTGTTCCGCTCGCATGCCCGAGAGGCCGGGAGCCCCGCCACGACGTGCGGAGCGGAGGGCGGCGGCGATTGCTCGCGTGCTGAGGTGCACCGGCTGGGACGGTTGGTGCTGAAGGACGTCCTGAGCGATTGCGGTCCGTGCCTCGGGAGGACGGCGTGCGGGGTCGGTCAAAGCGGCCCACGTAGCCTCGTTTCCGGGGGCCAGGTCGCAAGCAGTAAGCACCTGACGTGCGCGTGAGAGTTCGCCCTTTCGCACCTTCGCGCATGCCTGGTGCCGCTTGCGTTCGGCGATCTCGTTGGGGGGCAGTGTCGGGCTGTCGCGTGTTGGTCGGCTGACTTGGCGTGCCGCTTGTATCAGCTGGAGCCACTCCCCTTGCTGAAATGCTGCGGCCCGTCCCAGCAACTCGGCACGACCCTGCGAGCCTTGTTGCTCGGTGCGCGAAAGCAGCATGCGGGGTGCGAGGAGGAACAGCTTCCACGCCCTGGCAGCATCTGTGCCGTCGGGGTCGATGCTGGCAGCGCGTAGGCGTCGGAGTGCCTGCACGAGTGCTCCCCGCACCGCTGCACGCATGAAAGGAGGCGTATCTTGCAGCGTTGGAGCTGGGTGGCGCAGTTCGTCAACGAGGTCGACGCCATCCAAAGCCCTCCACGCCTCGGCGTCGGCCTCGGCAACTCGGCCCGGGCAGACTGGGACCGATTGGCAGTCGTCATTAACGTCATTCGCCGGCTCGGCGTCAGCGGGCCGTGGCTCGCGGGGACGGTCGCGTGTGGAACGAGCGCGGCGTCCCCGTCTGGAACGTCTGCATGGGGGGCGGACGCGCATCATCGTCGGGGCAAGCACGCCGCACGTCCTCTGCCAAAGATTGAGCTGCCGAAGCGATTGCGACCCCCCCGTACGTCTGGAAAAGGGCAACTTGTGCTGCAGCGGGGACGTAACCTTGTGCATTCATGCAGAGGGCGAGTGCGCTTGGTAGTGGCACAGGCGCCGGCGGCATAGCGGTCAGCGCTTCAGCCGACGCAACATCGGCCGCGGCCGCTCCGTGAGCCGGGTCGCGGTCGATGCAGGCTAGCTCGGCGTGCAAGAAACGGAGGATGGTGGATGGCAGTGCGGGGGCCGCTCTCCGTAACGCTCCCGCCAGCTCAGCGAAGCGCGTGCCGATGCGGGGGTGGGATTGCCAAGCCTGCGTAGCTGCCGGTGTCATTGCGCCGGCACCGGCGTGGAGCAGTGGTACGAACAGCCACGAACACGTCTCGCCTGGTGCCTGGTGGGGTGGGCGGGCGTCTTGCCAGCACAGCGGCTCGCGGGCAGGGGCTGGCAGCAGCGTCGGCGATGCAGGTGGCGTGAACCCTGGAGTGGCGTCGCCTGCTTCGCCCGGCGCCGCTTCCCCCGCGACACCGGGTGATGCTTCACGCTCCAGCTCGCGAGGCGACGCGAACGGCGTCTGTTCGCTGAGCGTGTCGCACACCGTTTCTGCATCGGACGTAGCACCCGCGTCTGGCCGACGGAGGCCCATCTGCTCCAGCGCATGGAGAGCACGATGGCGTCGCTGGTTGGTGGCGTCGTCTCCCGGGCCTGGGTTGGTCGCCTCGCCGATTCGTTGACCGTTGTAAGGGTGCGGCGGGGACGCCCTGGAACAAAGGAGGACAGTGGCTCGTGCGTTTTCGGCTCCTGCAAGCGGGGCTCGAGTGCATGACAGCCAGAAATTGCGCTCGCCGGGCGCTGAGCTCGGCGGGCGAGCATCCTGCCATGGTAGTGGCGCGACGCCGCTGGCAGGAGGCACGACCTGCCGAGCATCGTACCCGGTGCATGCTCCGCCCTCATCCGTCACCGGCGGTGTTGATGGCGGCGTGAAGCCCGGTGTCGCCTCTCCTGCTGCGTCTGGTGCCATCGCGCCCGTGAGCGCATCTGGAGCCTCTCCACGTGGTGACGCGAAAGGGGTGATCGTGCTCAACAAGTCCGACAGGGTCTCGGCAGCATCGAGGTCCGCTTGGCGGTCGCGCAGTGCGGCCGGGCGGGTACTGGGGAGCAACTGCATTTGGGCAAGCGCATGCATGGCTCGTTCTCGGCGTTGCGCAACGGCAGTGCCGCATGGCGGGCCCGGGTGGGCAGCTTCCCCAACTCGCCTGAATTATACCCACGTCAGCTCCAACTCTACCAATGTCAAGTTCGATGTAGATCGCAAGGCGCTACAAGTCAGTTCCGACCTTCGTGGATGCCCTGCACATGGTGGCGAGTGATGGAGGCGCGACAAATGCGTCTAACTCATGCAGTCAATCACGTCTGCGCCGTGTAGCGTGCGTGCCCTCGTGCGGGAGGGGCGGCGGGACCCGCTCACAATCCTTTTTTCAACAGCTCGCAACTCCTGAAGTGGCACACCGTGTGCGGTTTGGATTTTCCAGTAAACTTCAGTTCATGTTCGGGACAATTTGTGGTTTGCTCCACTTTATGGTTCGGGGTTGGCTCCCCTACACTTCCTTGTAAAGTTTGGGTATACTAACATATCCCTTTGCCGTTTGGGGTTGGCTCCTCCGCATCTCGTTCCAGGTTTGGAGGTTCCAGAACAAGTTGTCGCGTTGAGGCATGTGATTCGGTGTATGTTCTAGGTGTCCTAAGAAACGGAGCACATACTCGGAGCTCCGCAACGCAGAACCGCAAGAACTTGTTTTCTGGGCTCGGAGGTCGGCGGGCGCTGGAATAGCAAGGCCGGCCGCTTCGTGCAGAACCTCATCCGCGTCCGGTCCCAAAGAGCTCCGCCAGCTCTCCGCCGCGCGGCCGCCGCGGACTGGTCGCGCCGTTGGTGGGGCTTGCTGGCTGTTGCCGTGCAGCAGGCCGTCGCCAGCGCGGCATTGGGGGCAGGCTTGGCCAGTGCCGCTCCACCCGCGTCAGAGGGTTGAGCCGCCCTTCGAGCCAGTACTCGAGCTGGCCGGACCAGCAGCGGGCCCCAGTCGCTTGCCGCTGCGCTCGTAGCAGTTGGCAGCGACGACCCTCCGTAGCCGTAGCGGCGCTAGTCAGCCTGCCTCTAGCAGCATACTGGGACAACTACCTTGCAGGCGGAAAATGGGCGCTTAAAAACCCAAGGAAAACAGGTTCGCTTTCCAGAACATGGAATGTTGCTCCGCGAACCGCCAACCTTCGCCGCTGCTGTGGCGTTTCTATCAAAGCACTTCCTCTGGCCACGCCGGTCGCATTGCGGGGGTCGCGCTTGCGCTAGCGCGTAAAGCAAAACAGGGCCTTGTTTTGACATACACTTCCTTGTCAGGCCCAGTCAGCGGTTAGAGCACTAACTCCCTACGAGCTCGTCGGGCTTCGGCTGAGGCCAGGCTGAGGCGTGTTGCGCCACCTGGCGCCATGTTCATTCACATCCAATGTCGACGGCGGATCCTTTTATGCTTTGTTCATTTAAGGGCAGACCGGGCTCGGCAACGGGCAAGGAGTCGGAGGACGCACCACCATTTGTTACCGGTCCCTATGCCTAGCACGACGTGGCGGCAGCAAAGTTTGGGGTGAGCGCACTGCGCACTCCTAGGACCGGCGAGCGTGGCGCAAAGCAACCCCAATAGTGCGCTTGCCCTTATGCCGGGGCTCGCCGTTTGCCGTCAAGGGCGACACGAGGGTCGTGTCAACCGCAGCCGGCACACCTCCCCACAGTGGCAAGCCGTCGGCGATGACCTCGATGATCATCTTGTCGGGAGGGGGCGACATTGAGTTCAACACCAAGACGTTGGTATCAAAAGTGGCGAGGCCAGCAGAGCGGCGGCAGGAAGCAGAACTCGTCGACAACTCTGGACGCAGGACGCTCCATATGTGGGGTCGAGTTCGTGTTCATCGTCCTCATCGCGCGGAGATGCGCGGAGCCGACGTAACAGCTCAGGCCAGAGGGGCAGACCCGGGCGCAATCATAGAGGCACGGGCGAAGAAGAGCGACTGTAACACGGTCCGTGCATGGCGTGCCGCACTGCGAAGTCCTCAGCCCCCCATGGCGCAAGGCAAGCTGGGCATCATCGTGAGCGGCAGCGTATGCCCTCGTGGCTTATGGCAGCACTGCGGCCGTGGCGCTGCGCAGCACGAGAAGAGCAACCAGCTGATCTGAGATATCTGAGTGTCGTGTATGGCCGGGAGAGCCAGGAGGAGACCGGCTTGGCGAGGTAAAACATCCATGCAAGCGCTTGGTCTGGCTAGGGCATGAGAAAGCACCGGCAAAAAACCCAGCCGCGCATATCGACTGCGAGCCCATCGCAAAGCACCCAGGGGGCTCGGGGACAGCTTGCAACAAGGGATGGTATTCGTCCATATTGTCATTCGTTTAGCACCGACCTTTCTACCAACGTCCAAAGCAGCTCGGTCCATGCGCAACGCCCAAAGCCAAAGCAACAGTCTACAGCATTGCAACGCATGCAAGCCCGCTGGGGTGCACGTTGGCCGCATTGTCTTGCAAGTCGATGCCCCGCACATATGGCGATCTGGCACTTTTTGCCGGGCCAAGCCACATCCGATGCGGCGTGCGCTGAAGCAGCCGAGAATATGCGCGGGGAGCAGCCGTAGCAGCGGCGAGACGTGGTGTCGTGATCAGCGGTGGAGCGGAGACTTCGTGCGGACCGTGCACCTGGCAAGCAGTGAAGTTTCCTGCGGTGCGGGACGACCTGGCCCTTAGGTCCGAAAGCCTCACGAGCAACGCGCACCCAGGCGTGCTCCAGGGGCTTGGCTCTGCGAGAGGGAAAGCCTGTACGAGAGCAGGCGGCATGGGGGTCACCGTATGCATCAACAAGACCACCACCGCCGTGGCCATGTTCGCCGCATTTGTGTGGGCTGGCTGGCAAAGGCAGCCGCAGCCGTCGCCGCATCGCTTTGAGCATGCGGTCGGGCGGCAGAGCGGTGCCAGCCTCGCACGGGGTGGCGATGAGCCAATCGGCGGAATGCGGCCCCGACTGCGAGAGGATGGCCTGGGCATGGGCTGGCAAAGCGGGTCGCAACTCGGTTTCGCGGAAGTGGGTAGAACAAGCGCGGGAACCGTGATGCTGCCAGCCGTGGCACCGTTCGCCAAATCGCATTGTGCGCGGCGCAAGTTGTTGAGCAGGTCGTTCCGGGTCGGGCGGGCGGTCCAGTTGGTGCGGTCGAGCACGCGGCGGGCTTCCTCGGCACGGACTCCGTGCAGCTCCGGCGCTTCACCCTCGAAGCAGGCCTCAGCGGCGGGCGGGAGCTCAAACAGGGAGGCTGCGTGGGCACGCGTCGCAGCAATAGCAAGCAATCCACACAACCGCGCATAGCAGTGCTGCAACGCTATGCCACGAGGCGCAAGAAGACGCTGCTTCGCTGCTGGGCGCCCAGCCTCGATCCCGACGACGACGAACCTTGCACGTCTGGCGCCTTGGAGCTCGGGGTACGTTTGGCGCCGTTTGTCTAGCCGCATCCTGCGCGGCTACTGCGGGGCGGGTGTCCGCGCCAGGCCGTGCGGAGCCGGTTCGGGTGACCGGGTTGACGCTTGTGCCGTCGATCGCGAGCTGGGTGCCACGCCAAATGGGCTTGCCTTGCTCCCGGCGCACCTATGGCCAGCACATCCCCGCACGTACCCGCACCAGCTCATGCCTGCGCGAGCAGTCAGTGAGTTAGCCCCGTGTACAGCGACACATGGGCATGGAGGGAACAATTAGTTCCCGAAGCAAAAAGATTGTACACGTCGTCACCACACGTTCGGTGGAGACGACCATAAACGCTTCAACCCCGCGCGAGCAGTCGCAGCAAAATCACACACCCACAGTCGGCAACCAGGAGCCAGCCGCCGTTCCGGATTCGCGTAATGCTTGCAGGCCCTCTACATGTCAGACGCGAGCTCCGGCGGAGCGAGTATTTATTTTGTCTATTTTTCTGGTTTTTTTTTGTATATTTTCCTGGTTTTAGTTCTGTTTTCCTTGGTTTTCTGAATCTAGCCTGGTGGCCGTGACCGTTCTCCACCTCTGACTGGAGTTCTTTTTTGTGTATTTTTCTGGTTTTTTTTGTATATTTTCCTGGTTTTAGTTATGCTTTCCTTGGTTTTCGGAATCTAGCCTGGTGGCCGTGACCGTTCTCCACCTCTGACTGGAATTCTTCCTGCGTATTTTTTCTGGATTTTTGTGGATTTTTCGGTTTCAAAGCTTCCCAAACTTCTTCGCTCGTCTCGCGGCAGCTGCTGGACTGTCAGAAGCTCCTGCCACAATGCTGCAGTGTCTCTCACACTTCTTTTTTGCCCCGCGCGCTTATAGCATCCGCGAAGCTTCTGGATTGAAACTCTAAGACTCTGCGGTTGCGGTCTGGGTGGAGAGACGCCTGCTTGTTTTTTCGTAGGGAAAACACTGTTTTCCTACGGCTTCCGTGTCGTTTCCTTAGGTTTTCAGCAGGAAAACATACGTTACCTTGGTTGCTCCTCGGGAAAATCGGCTTTTCCGTGCATTGTCGCATTTTGTACGGATTTCGTGGTGTTGTTGTTGTACTGCTGGTGTTGATGATGTTGTTGATGTTGTTGTCGTTGTAGTTGTAGCTGTAGTAGTCGTGGTAGTGGTAGTTGCAGTAGTTGTAGTAGTCGTAGTAGCAGCAGTAATAGTAATAGTAATAGAATAGGAATAGGAATAGGAATAGGAATAGGAATAGGAATAGTAGGGATAGGGATAGTAATAGTAATAGTAATAGTAATAGTAATAGTAATAGTAATAGTAATAGTAATAGTAATAGTAATAGTAATAGTAATAGTAATAAAGTAATAGTAATAGTAATAGTAATAGTAATATAGTAATAGTAATAGTAATAGTAATAGTAATAGTATTAGTAATAGTAATAGCAATAGTAATAGTAATAGTAATAGTAATAGTAATAGTAATAGTAATAATAGTAGTAGTAGTAGTAGTAGTTGTTGTTGTTGTTGTTGATGTTGTTGTTGTTGTTGTGCTTGTTGGTGGTGGTGGTGCTGGTGCTGGTGTTGGTGCTGTTGTTGCATTTTGCTGCTGGTGGTGTCGTTGTTGTTGCTGTTCTTCCTGTTGTTCTCGTTGTGGTTGCATGCCTTTTGGTGTTATTTGTTACTGGTGTTGCTACTGCTCTTGGTGTTCATGTTGTTGTTGCTGCTGGGTGGAGTTTTTTTCTTTAAGGTTTGGCGGCCAGGTTATGTTTAAAAGGTTTGGCGGGATATGGGTTCGTTTGTGCGTCAAGCTATTGGGGGGATTCTAGTTTTCAGGGTTTGTTTGTGCGTCAAGCTGTCGCGGGAGTGTAGTTTGTTCAGGGTTTGCTTGTGCGTCAAGCTACTGGGAGATTCCAGTGTTCGAGCTTGTTTTCCTGCGTCAAGCTATTGGGGAATTCCGGCTCGCGGCCTCCCCCATTAGCAAGCATGATGCTCGCATGGTTGGTCAAAAAACGCGTATGTGCTGTCAAGCAAGCATGCCACTCTCGCACGCCCGGCGCATGCTTCCCAATTGCAATCACACTTTTCACAAGGTGAAGGGTGCTGCTTCTAAGTAAAAGATTCATCCTAGGATATCCTAGGCATCGACTGCTATGCTGTCATGCAATCACGGCTTATAGCAGCCGGGGGGGTTGGGGGGGGGGCAACCCCTTCCAGTTGCAATCACGATCCTCGTATGGCTGGTTTACCGCAAATCGCATGCGGCCGGGGGGGTTTAAGGGCGGCAATCAAGATGCTCGCATGGTTGGTTTTAAACAAGAATATCTGCTGTCAAGCAAAGCTGCGGTCACGCGAGCTTGCACATGGTTTAAAGCAGTGGGGGGGTTGGGGGGGCGCAGCCCCCCCGATTTGCAAGGATGATGCTCGCGTGGTTGGTAAAAACATGCGTATGTGCTGTCACGACTCCTATGCTGTCATGCAACCTGGCACACGGCTTACACAGCGGGGGGGTTGGGGGGGGCGCAGCCCCCCCCATTTGCAATCACGATGCTCGCATGTCTGGTTTACAACAAAAACTATGCGGCGGGGCGGTTTAAGGGGGGCAGTTCATGAGGATGCTCGCATGGTGGGGTTTTCAACAAAACGCATATATGCTGTCAAGCAAGCTCGGCACTCTCGCACGCCCGGGGCAGGCTTTCCATTTGGAAAGAGACTCTTTGCATGGTGAATGGCATTGTTTCAAGAAGACTTACATTTTATGCAGGGTGGGTTTCCAGAACGACGTCTATGCTGTCAAGCAAGCTTGCACACAGCTCAAAACAGCGGGGTCTCTGGTCTTTGCTTCTTGCTGTCTAATTATCCTGCTTTCGTTCTTGAGTTCTTTCTTTGCTCCGTTCTTTCTAACACTCCTTCTGGTCGTCCTTGCTGGCTTTCTGTCTTTCGATATTCATTTCTTCTGTTCTGTCTCTCTGTCTTTGCTGCGTTCTTATTTCCTTGCTTCTGTCTGTGCTTCTGTCCTTCCTTCCTTTCTTTCTTTCTCCCCATTCTGGTGTGTTGCTTTCTTGCCTTCTTCCTTTGTTCCCGTCTTCGTTCTTTCTTTCTTTCTGTCGTCCTTCTTTCCTTCCTTCCTGTTTTTCTGTCCTTCGTCCTTTCTTTCTTTCTCCTCTTCCTGGTGTCTTCCTTTCTTGCTTTCTTTTTTTGTTTCTTAGCTCCTTTCTTTCTTTCTGGCTTCCGTTTCTCTCCTTCTTTCTTTCGTTTGCGTTCAACCGAAAACCAGAAAAATAGACAGAAAAAAACCAGAAAAATTGACAAAAAAAATACGGTACCCAGCTCCGGCACGCTTCAGGGGGCCGGGCTTGCGAGCCCAACCAGTTACCTGCAAACAGGACGGCCAAGCGGATTGTGCAGCGTAGCATGATTTTTCGTACATGCACACAACACAAACACACGCACCCACACACACACGGACAGCTCATTTACGTTCATCCACTGCGCGGTCCAGTGCACATGTAGCCCCGCATCGCTTGCTGAGGCGTCGCACTCAGTCGAGCGATGAAAACGAAGAGGCCCACCCGGAGTTCTTGCGCTCCGAACGCTTTGATGTTTGGCATCGAAACCGGCGTGCGATGGAGCAAAAAGGCTGCGTCATGCCGCATCATGCCGCATCCTTCATCCGTTTTCTTGCACGAGCCATGGCTCTCAGCGCTCCTCCTTGCACCATGATGGAGCGGCACGTTGGCGGTCACTGCGTCGCTCGATCCTGGACCTCCCAGCAACATGCCCGGCTCGCCTGAGCTTGGAGCCGCATGCTCCTTCCGTGGCTCGCGGCTGCTGCAGCAACACTGGGACAGCTGCACGGTTTCTATAAAAGCAAGCGCGATCCCGGTCTTCCGCCTGTGCTGGGCTGGGCGCACAACGCGCTCAGCGGATGCTGCGACCTCTTCCACAAGTGTTACCCAAATCGGAAATCACAAACCCTGCAGTATGAACGAAGGTTCTGGGCAGGGCATGGCAGGGTGCGGTTTCCGTGGTGGAGGGAGTGCCGATCGCCACCACATCTAGTAGTGGCAGAACAAAACCGACCAGTACACACGAATCACGCGGCGAGTGTTTGTACAACTGCCTGAGATGGTGCTCCACCGCAACGAGGTCACGTTCGGCATCAATCCATTCGTACTCACGACTGTCCGACACAAGCGGTGGCAGTACCTCATTTCACACCGCGTCTGCGGCATGGCACATGCTGGCAATGTCACGGGCACGGCTGGTCACTGCAGGGGCGCAAAACAACGTCGAACTTCAACGCTTGCCCTGACAGGACTTGATGTATCTTAAAGCTTTTGCACTGCATCCTTCGATGCGACGCTGGTCTCCTGCACTCAGACACACAAAAGGCGGATATAGGCGGATAATGGCCGATTGCGGTGGCTGGCACGTCAGCCGATCTCCGAACCGAGGACAAGGATCCCTCGCCCGCCGCCCACACAGAGGGCCCATCGTGCGCGACGTTGGGAAAAGGCACAGCGTCGCATAGCGACTGCTGCACTTAACGTTAACCCCTGCCCGCTCGACCCTGCCTTGCTTGGCAGCCCAGCGCACCGGAAGGCCCAACAAGGCGTCGTGGAGGAATACATGCCAGAGATGCGGCGTAGCGACTGTGGCGAAGCGTGAGCGGGAGGCACGAGCGGCATAAAGCTTAAAGCGAACTGCGTTGCTCGATGTTGCCTGTGGCGACCAGATTGGCAAGCTCCTTCGGTGTGGCTCTGAACAAGGCTCCTGCGTCCGAGCCAGAGGTGGGACAGCAGGGCGCACAGACACTTGGCGATGCTTGGCTGCATGTCGACAGCAGCGTGCTCTCGCGGGAGTTGGGTTTTGAATTCGCGACGAAATGTGCTCCCGGTCACCGAGGCCCTTGTCACTCACCGCTGATGGGCGAAAGCATTCGTGCCAGCTTGCATCTCCAGACATTGCGCGGCGCTTCGGAACCCTCGGCAAAAGCCGGGGCACTCTCGCCAAGCAGCGTGATTGCATCAGCCCATGCCGCCCAGTGTCAAGTGCCCATGGGCCATTGAAGACACCAGCGCAGCACAGATGCAACATGGCTCCATTACGCCATGCGACGTCAAACTCTGTAAGGTTTGATGTGTTTAAGCCTTGACGCATTTCAGCACAACCGAA